CTAGCACGTGTTGCTGCAAGTTGGGATGTTTGTTGAACGCTTGTGTTGCTTGTCGTTTCCCAAACAGCACGTCCAGTCCTGTCATGATGTCCGTCCCTTGACCTTCTCCTCCGAGCACAATCACAGTTGGGTTGAAGTGAACCCGCCGTGGAGTCGCGTCATGAGCTGCTAGCTCGATCCCATCAGGTGGGTAGGCAAAGTCATAGAGATGACTTGCCTCATTCTCCATTTCGTTGCTTTCAGCACCTTCAGGAACAGAGACGCCAGCTGGAGGTAAGTCACTTGCTGCATCCCGTTCTCCTTTATTGGCTGCGTCGTTAATGGGTGAATCTTCTTGATTTGCGTCAGCTTCCTGTCCTCGTGTGGTTGATGTGTCCGTGGACGACGTAGGCGATGGTGAGGATGTGGGAAATAAGTCAAACTCGGACCCAAAGCCTTCTCCCCGTGAAGTCCAGCCGTCGATGTGAGGTGAGACTTCTTCCATGTAGCGGTGGCGTTCGAGTACTGATTCAGCGTCCGGAATCATGAGGTCATCAAAGAAACGAGCTGAGCGTGTGTCCGTGTCAACATCGCTTGCCAAGTCCCGCACGATCCATGCCTTGCCAACATCAGGAACATCCCAACCCTTCCTCTTTGCTCGAACTTCCCAAAGCTGCCTTGAGGAGGGAGGTAGTAGCAGAGGCAGCCAAAGGTCCTTGCCATTGAAACATCTGCCGCCTTTCCTGTCATCATGAAGTACGGTGAGTGTGCTGATGGGTTGCTGCTGCAACTGATGCGGTTGTGTAACCATGCTGCATACTCCAGCGCATAAGGCCAGAACTTAGAGGAAAGGCTGGCTCCGGTGGTCATTGCACGCACTCGGTCCATGAGTGTGCGATTAACCCGCTCGGCGACTCCATTCTGCTGCGGCGTGTGAGGTAAAGACGTTTGGTGGATGATGCCGTGAGAACTCAGGTATTCCGTGAACGCATTCGCTGTATACTCCCCTCCGTTGTCCGTGCGCAAGGCAGCCAACGGCTTCGCGGGCAGCTTGGTCTTCATCTCGCGATGCCAAGCCGAGAAAACTGCAGCCATGTCAGATCGGCGAGTCAACGGCGCCACCCACAGGTAGTTGGTGTAGTCGTCCTTGAGCGTCAACACATAGCGAATTGAAGGGTGAGCCTCACCCTGGTCCATGATGTCGCTATGCACGAGCTCCAAAGGTCGAGTTGTGCCCTTGGTGTTTCCTGTGGGAAAGGGGGCCTTGCTCATCTTCCCTCGAAGACATGAGTCACATGGGGGTTTGAGAGGGTTAGTCTTGTCGGATATGGTGAGTCCTTCAACATCACAATTCCGAAATGTTGCATCCATGGATGTGTATGATGGGTGACCCAAGCGCTTGTGGGCCATGCGGTAGGTGATGGATGCATGAGCAGAAAGTGGGTTCAACCCCTTATGACCATGATCATGCGATGCGTCATCCTCATGGTAATGGTCAAATCCATGGGCAGATGCAAGTGCAGGCTCATACTGCACCATGAGCACGCCATGCATGATCATTCCAACCCCAATGATCACATGCTCATCTTCAGCCGCCATAGTAATCTCCGTGCGTCCGTCATCACGAGTGCGAATCCGAGCTCCTTTCTTGTGCAGTTGACAATAGGAAAGCAGGTTGAACTTCAAGCCGGGTACGTAGAGCACATCCGTGTAGCGCACAATTGTTCCATCGGGTGCCGTTGCTCGGATTGTTTCCGCCATCGAGCTCAACAGGTGGCTCCCACCAGCAAGCTCCACGTAAACAGGTTCGTCTAGCTCCTCTAGACCCTCGAACCAATCCTTTTCTGAGGTCATGCGTTGGCTGCATCCGTTGTCCAGCAACCACATCGACCCTCCGGCTGATGGTAGTGTTGCTTGTGACGACCGAACCGTTGCAACGCATGTAACTGTGCGTTTGTTGTCTCCCCCGGCTGCCCCTTGCTGTTTTGACGTTTGGTTGTCACGTTTGGGGCTTTCGCTCCTTCGAGGCGAGGACGAACAGCTACTCCAGGTGCGCTGGTTTGTCCTCCCTCTGTTTTGTGGTTCCCACCCTGGTGGTGACCAACCCGGGGGCGCCTTATGACACTTGTAAAACGGGTGGCCAGATTCCTTGCAGTACCAACACACAAGGTTGGAGCGCCCTCCTCTTCTTTCGTTGTCCTTGAGTTTCTCCCCAATCGTTGCTTGCTGCCCTCCCGTTGACTTCACTGCATTCTGGTTGCCCTTTGTCTCGGTCCTCTCCTTTGCTGGTGAATTATCTCCACGTGCTTGGCCAGCCATGCGGGGAGGACGCTTGTCACGGTTGGTCTTGCTAATGAGGTCTTGGTAGCGTTGTTCCTGAATCATCATTCGTTGTAGTGCGTAGCTGTCCGAGATGTCGTGTAGCATTGCCGAATGCCTCAACTCCTCCCAATGCGGCGGCAGCCCGGTGATCAAATTTAAGGTGAACGAATCTTCATCCACCATTTTTCCCGCCATTGCCAGCTTGTCCCGAATGGCAGTTGCTCGGTTGATGTATTCCTCCACTCTTTCTTGGCTCCCCATCTTCAGGTTGTCCAATTGCCTCTGGAGAGACGCCTTTGCCACCGAATCCTTCGCCTGGTAAGTCTCCATCAGGTACTCCCATGCTTCGAATGCCGGACTGTATGACTCTTGGAACACGTCAAGTTGCAGCTGAATCGTTGCGCTCACGCTATGCTGAAGCACCCAAAAAGCCAGCGTAGCACGTTGTGAGTAATCTGCTTGTAGAACTTCCAGCCGCTCCATTGCATCTCGCATTTCTCCATTCACCATTGTAACCGGGTATTGTAGCGTCACGAAGAACTCCCACAAGTTTGTCACGCGCGCGTTCATGCGAAACCAAAGAGCCCACTCTCGAAAGTTAGTGCCGTCGAATGGAGTTGTTGTGAACGCTTTGTCCACTGCTGCTCCCACCATTTTGCGTGACAACCTGTTCTTGTCTTCTTCCGTGTACTCGCGTGAAGACGAGTCGAAGAGCGTAGGCATGTTAGATGGTCGAGGTAGTTGTACCGTGCGTTGTGTGCCTTCACGTTCCACCACTTCCACTTGATCACGTCGCATAACACCACTTGACTGCATCTCGTGCCCCATGCGCCCCATGCTTCCTGCAGGTACAGCTTCCATTTGAGACCGTGGCGCACGAGGAGGTACGACGTTGTTGCCAAAGAGGTGAGATCTGCCCATCACGGGAACTCCAATGGGATGAGAGTTAGTAGCGAGACGTCGTAGTGGGGGGAGCACCAATAGTGTAGGATTCGAATCCCACACCTTCCATGCCCACATGACTGCTTCGACCACTCCCTTCACCAATCTGCCCTCTCATGTTTCTTCCCACGCCAGTCCCATCACCATGCTCCATCACATTCATTCCACTTCCGTACGCATCATCACTCCCCGTTGCTTCCCTTTGCATGGTTGATTGAGGTTCGGGGTGGGAGCTCCCCTCTCCTTGGAAGGATGCATCCCTCCCTTGAGATGACTCTCCTCCTTGGGGTACGCTTCCCTCTCCTTCGCCTTCAATCCCTGCATCCATATTTGAAGCATGGGTTTGGTTAGTACGCGAAGTGCTTGCATGTGACTGTTCACGGATGGATGGGTTGCTGAAATCTCGAACTTGGGTTGGCATGTTGAACTTTGCTCTTAATGACGCTTGGAGTGTCGGTGGTGCCCTTGCAATCATGTTCTCCAGGTGCTCATGTTGAGCCATGATGGCTTCTTCAAACGCCTCGTATCCAGCATCGACTTCATCGTCGAACCGCGCCATGCCTCCAATCCAAATGTTGTCACTTGCTGTGCGAGTTTGCTAATATGCCTGTCCAATGTGAATGCTGATAAGGTTCTGACCAAATTTCGGCAGCATGCCCCCTAGAGTAGCTCTGATACCATGCTAGAAAGGCATAGTGCCGTCGTAGCGGAAGCCTTGATTGTAGAATAGATAGCAAGAGAAACTTGCAACTGAAAGGATTCAGAACAATGGAATTGATTGATTATGAAACCACAGCAGGGAATTTATGCTGTCAGCTACCCTGCCCATACCCATCCATCCACACCAATAATTGTGCCACCAATAATGGCAACTCCAATAAAGGAGTACCAATAATTCTACTCCCAGACCTCTAGACTCCAATAATTCCAGCCCTACAATAATTGTACAATTATTGTAGGCCCTGAAGTCTAATAAGGAGGACTACAGTAAAATCTAACAGCATAAATATTTCGTTATATGTTATATTTCTCAACAAATCTCACTTAACTGAATAAGGGTGAGTTCCCACGCCTCTTGTCAGACACACGCCTTGTCAGACTTGTGCGGTTCAATGCTTTTCAGTGCGACTGAATATGATTCTGTGTGTTACAGAGTGGTGAGACGCGAGTCTGAAAAGAGCTTGCCTGATAAGCGGCGGTAGGTAGGAACGCGCTCTAATGGATTCATTTTAAGGCTGTGCCACTACTGTAGGGTAGCCCAAGCACACAAGCTGCGTTACAGAGTTGTAACAAGCTGCCCCTGCAGACACTGGGTAGACACAGGGGTGGGGGTGCAGGGGAATCAGGGGTCTGAATTTCGTTGTACCGTAACAAGCTGCCCTTTGTAGAAAAGGGACCAGGTGTAGAGAGGATGAGAGAGTATCAGAAAAAGAAGGGACAAGCAAGCACCAAGAAACGGAATGGAGAGCATGTGAGGGAGAAAAGCCTCCTGCAACCATTGACACCCTATAAGACACCACAGGTGCAACCCTAGATTGTGACACCCAAGATGACACACTGGATGACACGCTAGATGACACCCAGGACGTTTCGAAGCTCAGCACTCACCACAACTGGCCGTGCCTTTCACAGCGGTAAGCCCCCACTCGCACCCGTCGCATATCCACCCTCGATTCGGCGCCAGATCCAACGGCTGAACACTGGTAGGCGGCCACCGGCTATACACCGGCATGCACGCTTTCCCCTCCGCCTCACACTTAGTTAAGTTCCCGCCACACACCGCCGCTCCGCAGAAAATAGGGTTTCGCTGCACCATGAAGCTTCTGGGAAGGCCCTTGCATGCTCCCGTGTATTTTCCGGTGTAGGAGAGACAGTTTCCGCTGACGTCGCATTGGGATGGGACAGGAGGGGGAGGAGACGGCGGGGGGGGAGGGGGGGAAGGGGGAGGAGGCGGAGGAGGGGAGGAGGCGGAGGAGGAGTGGGGTGGGGCGGAGGGGGATGGGGCTGGGAGGGAGGAGGATGGAGCAGCAGCAGGAGCGGGAGAGGGAGCAGGAGATGGGGCAGGGGCTAGTGGGTTGGGTTCTGGGGAAGCGGGAAGGGGAAAGACCCCTGTGAGGAAGTTTTTGAAGAGGAGGAGGGAGGAGAGGCGCGGGCTGTAGGGCGGAATGGGGCCGGTGAGCTTGTTGTCAAAGAGCCATAGCTTGGTGAGGGTGGCGTGGTTGATGAGGTAGGCGGGGATGGGGCCGTATAGCGAATTCCAAGACAGGTCCCTGCGAGGGGGGAGGGGGGAGGGGGGAGGGGAGAAAGAGGAAAAACAGCAAAGGAAAGGGGGGGATGGGACCGTATGGAGAGTTCCAAGAGAGGTCCCTGGAGGCGGGAGAAGGGGGAGGGGAGTGGGGGGGGAGAGGCGTGGAAAGGGAAGGAAAAGGAGGGAAGGAACCAAGGTTTCAATAAAGGATTCAAAAGAGGCTCCTGAGAGAAGAGGGATGGAGGCGGGTGAAATGGAAGGGAGGGAGAATGAGAAGGAGTAAAAAGATGAGAGAAACATGTGAGCATATGGGAGAACATGGGAGGAAATCCGAGGACATGGGAGGGAGGGCTTGAGATGAGACGTCAGCACAGCACCCCAGTCCTGCACTCACAGCGACTGTAGGTTTTGAGTCGACTCAAAAGCGAGATGTCAGCACCTTACTCCGGCACTTACAGCGATTGCAGGTTGGGCAGGCAGGCGAGTGGCTTGGCGAAGACGTCCAGGCGAGAGAAGATGTAGGCCGAGGAGAGGGTGCTGGTGGTGGTGGGAACGGGAGGAGTGGGGAAGTAACGGTACAAGAAAGAATGAGATCATACGAGGGGGGTGGTGGTGGCGTGGCGAAGACGTCCAGGCGAGAGAAGATGTAGGCCGAGGAGAGGGTGCTGGTGTGGTGGGGGGAGATGGAAGGAAGGGGGTAAAGGTATTGCAGAGACTGAGAGAATGCGGGGATGTTGATGCTGATGCTGGCGGTGGTGGCTTGGCAAAGGCGTCAAGGCGAGAGACGATGTAGGCCGATGAGAGGGTACTGGCTGGTGGTGGTGGTGGTGGTGGTGGGGTAAGACAGAAGGAGGAGGACGGTATCGAGGGTGAGGGAGGGCGAATCTCTCACTCCATTTATACTGACATTTCTGTGAGAGAGGTGAGGGCGGAGATTGTGGGCGGCAGAGTGGAGATCCGCGAGACCAGCAGACCCCAGTGGATGTCTCTGTCGTTGGGATGGGGAGAGGGAAAGGGGGGGAGAAAATAAGAGGAGAGGGAAGGAAGAGGAGGGGAAAGAGGAGCGGGAAGGAGGAGGGAGAGAATGAGTGAGTGAAGAAAGAGGAGAGGGAGGGAGGAAGGTGAGGGGGAAGGAAGATTCTCAGCGACTCACATTGTCATTCTCATCGCACTTCAATCCTTGGTAATACCGCCCCAGCCCATCATCGGAGCAAGAGGCGCCCTTTCCTAGCAATCTCACTCACAGCAAACCGACTCCTCTCATTCGCCCACCACGAGAACCGTCCCAACTCCCCTGTCAGCGACTCACATAGCTATCGGGTTCCCGTTCTCGTCGCACTTCAATCCTCGGTAGAACCGCCCTAGTCCATCATCGGAGCAAGAGGCGCCCTTGCCTAGGTAGCTGGCTAACAGCGAACCGGCCCTCCCCTGCACCCATCACCAGAACCGCCCTACACTGCCCCTCTCAGCAACTCACATGGCGATCAGATTGCCATTCTCGTTGCACTTCAATCCTCGGTAGAACCGCCCTAATCCATCGTCGGAGCAAGAAGCGCCCTTTCGCCAGCCAAAGGATCCCGGCACCCTCAGAGCCGTCTTGAGGTCGTTTATAGCGGGGACTAGGTGTAGGAAGAGGTATATGGAGGGATACAGAGAGACATGGGAGGAGGCGTGAGGGGGGTGTGGGGCCAAAGGAGCCCGGCATTCTCACAGCTGCCTAGAGAGAGAGGAGGAGGGGGGGGGGGGGGGGGGGGAGGGGGGGGGGAAGGGGGGGGTGCAGAATGGGGAAGGGGGACGAGAGGGAAGGGAGGTGGGGGCCAGGGAGTGAGGCGGGGAGGAGGAGAGTCACGAAGGCACGCGTTGAAGGGCACACTGACGGAGGGGAAGGATGGGGAAGAGGAGACGGAGGGGAAGGAGGGGAAAGAGGAGACGGAGGGGAAGGAGGGGAAGGATGGGAAGGAGGGGAAAGAGGGGAAGGAGGGGAAGGAGAGACGGAGGGGAAGGAGACGAAGGAGGAAACGGAAGCAGGGGAGGGAGGAAGGAGGAGGAGAGGAGGAGGAGGAAGAAAGCAAGGAGGAAGGGGAAGGGAGGAATGGGAAAAGAGGCTCACGTATGGAGGCGTTGAAAGGCACATAGACGGTAGCAGCGGCCGGCACGACGGCGACGGCAGCGAGGAACAGCAGCAGCAGCGGCCGCAGCGGCAGCAGGGTAATAGGATCCGCAGCTTTAACGACTCTGGCAATCCCCGAATGTTTTGAGATGCTGTGGAATCGGAGGTGTGCGGCAGTATCGGCAGTGGTGGACGCGGGCTGTGGCGAGGGGACGACGAGGGCGTTCGAGCGGTGGGATCGGCGGGAGTGGCGGCGAAGGTGGTGGTGAGGGTGGTGTTGGTGAGGATGGTCCGGAGCGGGTGAGGCAAGGGCGGCTGTTGCTGTCCGTGGCACGACCGCGGCCCCCATGATAGGCTCGTAAAAGTACCGCTTTGAGTACTATTGGTTTAGTGAATCCGCCAACAGTGTTCGTATGGACGGAGCAACTGAGCAGGCTTTACGTTGGTACAGCCTACGAATAGCCCTACGGCTCGAATAGTGCTTTCCTCCTTCGAATGAATAGTGCCTTCCTCTTTCGCACGAATAGGCCCTCCATCCGTCCGTACGACTTTGCGTCGGCCGCGGGACGAGTAGCACCTTCCGTTCCATTCCGTGCGGCTTGTGTAGGTGGTTCCGCGTTCCGCGCGCGAGGAAGAGTGGGGATGGGGGAAGAGTAGTAACCGCCGAATCTTTCTCCGAAAAGGCTTGCCCGGACGGAAGGCAAACAGTGCGTTGAATCCGCCTTGAAACTCCCGGTTGCCAGCAACGGCCGCTTGCACGGAAAGCAAGAGTGAGTTGGCAAGCGACAGCCAGCGCAGCAAGGCGAACGGGGAGCGAGTGGCGGAAATGCGTCGTAAGAGTGTGCGAAGTGCGGGCGACTACCTTCGCCGCCCACCGACAACAGTTACAAGATGAAATTCGTGGACTCCTGCGAGTGGAGGTTGGAGGGGCGGATGGTAAGGCGGACAGATGAAAGGCGGAGCGAGGCGATTAGGGTTAGCGGAGCGCGCGCGAGCCAATCGGAGGTGAACGGAAGCCGTGTGGTGCCACGTGCCGCGCTTATGCTGACGTCTGTGGCGTGCGCGAGCCACGTGACGACGCGAGGCCCCGCCCACTGAGCTTCCTACGGAAGCGTCCGCGTCAACAGCATTGCTCGTTTTCTCAAAGCATGGTGAGCCGCAGATAATCGGTAGCAAAAAGAGGGATGCAGTAAACAAGCCGTCACACAGATGATAATATGCAAGGCCAACTTTTACATGTGGCCGGGGTTTTGCAATATACATAAATATATACTGAGTCATTCCATTGGGGTCTAAAACGCTTCAGCAGGGAAACCCTGTGCTTGTGGTACGCGTGAAGCCAGCTCCCTCAACTCTTGCACCTCCTCGGCAGTTAGCGACCACCCCAACGCCCCTGCAAACTCCGCAGCCTGAGCAAGCACACACGAGCACAGACCATCACTCAATTAACCTCAGGAGATAAACACACACAAGTCGGCAATACCTGTCAAATAACATGTTTTCAATAAGCAAACTCTGGGAACTCGTACGTGTTTTAGAGGCAGAGATAGCGAGAAACGGTTTCCTACTCTGTTATTGGCTCCTGGGATGGGAACGATGTTCCCGTGCACCGTTAGCCAGTTGGTTTTATAGAATTCTAAATTCCACCTGAGGCATCGTTACCTAGACAGCGCTTACCTGTGCTCTGTTCTTGGCTCCTGGGATGGGAACGATGTTTCCTTGCACCACCAGCCAGTTAAGAGCCACCTGAAAGAGCAGAGGCAAAGGGAAGACGAGCATCAATTTATTGTCTATTCAAATAGGTCACTTGGAAGGGAAAGGTCACGTCGACATTGGGATGGCGCTGGAGAGAATTTTCAATTGACTAAAAAAAGTGATATTGACATTGAAGATCCCAAGAGAGGTTCTATTCCAGTGCACTCAGTAGGCACTCAGTAGGAATGCACTCTAGAGTTACATGTGCTGTGCATTGTGGAAGCCACGAGACTTCTCACCTGTGTCTTGCTTCGCCCGCCGTACTTCTCCCCAAGCTCTGTCATGCGCTCAAGCAATGGCTGCGCCTGTATGGTACAGTCCCAGGGGTAGAGAGGAGTAGAGAGGGGCGGAAAGGGGCTTAGTGGGGCCATCAGGGTAAGAAGGCAGGTAGATTTCATGAAGTCATGCGGAAAGAGCAAGGTGCAGGCAGGACGAGGCTGGGCGGGATGGAGTTTGAGGCGCCTCAAAAGACTTAATGGCAGAGTGCCTGTCAGGTCCTTGCGAATGAAGCCTGGGGAGTAGGAGTTGGCACACGGCCCCGTCGGGGGCTTCATGCATGGGGGTGCAGCGTGCCTCTGTGCGCATCAAGGCAATGCCTTCCTGCTCGCTGTTTTCAGCAGCGTGCATCTGACGTGATGAAGGCAGTACCTTGCGAATGAAGCCGGGGGAGTAGGAGCTGGCACGTGGACCGGTGGGAGGCTTGTGGGGAGAGTACTTGCCCGTACTTGCCCCTTCTGAGTCGACTCAAGAGTCACACAGTGAGCACGAGTGCTTGAATATACCTTGCGAATGAAGCCGGGGGCGTAGGAGCTGGCACGTGGACCCGCGTGCCTCTGTACGCATCGAGGCTTTACCTCGTTGCTTGCTACTTGAAGCAGGTGCGAGACGTGATGAGCGCAATACCTTGCGAATGACGTCTGGGGAGTAGGAGTAGGCACGCGGACCCGTGCTGCTCCATGCATGGAAGTGCAGTGTACATCTGTGTGCATGAGGCATTGCCTTGTTGCTCGTTATTGTGAGCAGGTGATAAGACATTACCTTGCGAATGAAGTCTGGGGAGTAGGAGTTGGCACGCGGCCCTGTGGGGGGCTTCTGGGGAGAGTACTTGCCACTGAGCACACCTGGCGGGACAAGGATTGGTCGGGAATGGCAGGGTACAATGCAATGGGGGCAAGTACTTGCGTGAGTATCATGGAGAGCGAGTCAGTAGGACATGTAGGTTTCGTGAAAACTGGGTAGGAGGTCGATGAAGAGCAGAGGGATGCAGTGAGGAAAGGGAATGGAAAAGACAGGGTAAGTTAAGGCTGAAACGGCTCACTTGTACTCGCATGTTGTGAGTCCGCGTTTGAGTGGGTTCCAGGACAGGCTTACCTTGGGAGAGTGGGCTGTATGCGATGAGCGTGACGCCCAGGTCCCCACACGCCTGATTATCCCTCACTAGCAACACGCGCTCTTTAACAGATAGACAAGCAGACATTAAACACACACACCTTGGGAGAGAGGGCTGTAGGCAATAATCGTGACGCCGAGGTCCTCACATGCCTGCTTCACGCCGTTGCTCTCAGGGACTCGGTACAGGATGTTGTAGTGCACCTGTTGGACGGGCAGGGGGTGTGGTGAGGTGACGATGGGAAAGGTGATGCACTGACATGTGCAGGACATGGAGAGGTAGCATCTGCAAGACATGTGACACCCAGGTCCTCACATGCCTGCTTCACTCCGTTGCTCTCAGGGACTCGGTACAGGATGTAGTGCACCTGTGGGCCGGGAAGCGTGTCCTAGTACACACACGCCTACTTGACACAGCGTTGTTAATGAGGAAACTTACTGGTAATGCCATGTCACACAGGCTTATAACGAAGATGGAAGGCTCACCTGGTTGGAGGCAAGAGGCACCCCTCGCTTGGCCAGCTGCTGGTGTGCCTGCTGCAGCCGATCCACTGGAAAAGGAAGAAGGCCAGGGGGAGGGAGGAGTGTGAGAGTAGGGAGGGAGGGAGGGAGGATTTTGAACGAGTTTGAAGAAAGAAACTAGGCAGCTGCTCAATGTACCCCTCGTTCCCCCACACACGCTGAGCTCACACTAGAGGTGCATGAGCCCAGGCATATCATCAGTGGGTGGGGATTGGCACTCACGCTTGTAAGTGGACACTCCCACTGACTAACCCCCGTTCCACGCAGTCCGCCAAGCCATCAATGTACCCCTCGTTGCCCCACACACATGCTGAGCCTCTCTCGCTCCATCACGCTACGGACCTTGTCATGTCACCCCCAGTCACCCAGTCACCAGCTCACATGAGAGGTGCACGAGTACAAGCATACTATCAGTGGGTGTAACGAGGCACTCACGCTTGTAGTTGGACACCCCCACTGCCTTTACTAGTCCCTGCTCCACGCAGTCTGCCAAGCCATCAATGTACCCCTCGTTGCCCCACACTCCAGGCCTGCAGGGAATACGAGGCCAGGGAAAGAGAGGCGCAGCAGAGAGGATTTAAGCGTGCGTAGTCAGGTCAGCCCCTGCTCTCTTCCACACAGTCCGCCAAGCCATCAATGTAGCAGAGAGGATTGAAGCGTGCGCAGTCAACTCACCAGTGCAGCTGGTACAGGTCAACGCAGTCAACTCACCAGTGCAGCTGGTACAGGTCAACGCAGTCAACTCACCAGTGCATCTGGTACAGGTCAACGCAGTCAACTCACCAGTGCAGCTGGTACAGGTCAACGCTGTCAAGCTGCAGGCGCCTCAGAGACTCCTTCACAGCCCCCACCACAGATTCCCGCCCAAAGCGCCACGGTAGGGCGGCAAACTTTGTCGCTACTATAGGAGTCAGGTCCCCTGCCTGGCTCTTGCCGGCTCGCTCCTTGATGAACCTGTACAGGGGAGACAGAGGAGACAGAGGGGGATGTGGGGTGGGAGAAGGAACTTGTACGTCAGGGGAGGGTGAACGTGGAAACTGGGCTGGGGTGCATAGCAGGCGGGATCTGTATTGCTAGATCGGAGTGGAGAGGGGCATGGGAAAGGAAAGGCGAAGTGATAGGAGTGGGTGGGAGGGTGGGTGGGTGGGAGGAGCAGTACCTGCCCAACAGTGACTCGGAGTCGTCTGCACCGAACTGCAAAAACACCAAAGAAAGACGGGAGGAGGGAAATTATTGACTAAACATAATACACTGCACGTGCCAGTGCAAGCGCAGTCTTAAAAACGCTGTGAATATCAAAAAGCGCTCAGGCAAAAAACGGCTTGCGTCTCTGTGGAATTTCAGGTTGAGCTGGAAACCACTTTGCGTAGTTGAATACGGTAGCTGTTCAGCTGAGATACTCAGGCCGACACAGCAGTAATAACAGGCGCCAGCATGGCAGGCACGGAAGCACGCTTAGTCTTGCAGCACTATTGTTACAAGCATTTTCTTAACATGTGCACATGCTTCCGTTCCACAATCAGACAAGAGTCACCTATGTGCCTCGAACCAAAGGAAAAAGGAGGTAAATGAGGACGAGATTCCCAAGTTTTCGAGAAGTGCAAAGAGGGTGCACTTGTTTTGAGAGAGGGGCACACCTCTTTGGTCTGATAGATCGACATTCTAGGAATCAGTAAGGAAGGAGGAATCAGATTTTTTACCAGAAAAAAGGGGAGAAATGTGCACCTGTTTGGAAGGTGGGGCGCACCTGTTTGGTACCGTAGACCTCGGCAGTGTCGATGAAGTTAAGGCCAGAGTCCATGGCTGCATCAAACGCTTGCTTCGCATCCCGGACATTGCGGTCTGACAGTGGGAAGGGGATTGAGAGGGGAGGGGAGGGGGGGGGGGGGTGCAATTATGACAGCTCATTCTTCAGGGGAAGCAATCAAACTCAGCAGTGTCGATGAAGTTAAGGCCAGAGTCCATGGCTGCATCAAACGCTTGCTTCGCATCCCGGACATTGTGGTCTGAGATAAAGAGAAGATCGAGGTGGGATGGAATGAGGAGAGTTATATATTTAGGCAGTGAACCCTGCTTCACATCGCGGACATTGTGGTCTGGCATAGGGAAGAATGGGGTAGAAAGTGGCAAAACAGTTGGAAGATCCTGCCAACAAGATGGACACTTTCCCCCCCTTTCCCCCCCTCCTCTCCCCCCCTTCCCCCACCTTTTTTTGAATCTTTTTACAGCCGCTGAGATGTCTCAGAATTGGGGAGGATAGAACGAGAGAGCACGGCACAGAGAGTCAAAAGGCGTTTTGACAGGTCGTCGCCACATCCAACTGACAGACCGCCTGGCGGATTGCACTACACTGGCAATGGCATAACGGTCAAGAACGAATTCCTCACCATTCACTTCGTCGTTGTTCCAGAGGAACCTGTCGCTTCATGCCCATGCATGCACCCACCGTCCGTCGTATTTCTTATCAGTCGCCGAAACACGGCCACTGCAAACGGCACCGCACTCACCGTTCCACTCGCCGTCGTTCCAGAAGAACTTGTCACCCCACGCCCACGCACCCACGCCGATGATTGGAACCTCCACGTCCGTCTTCCCCAGCTTCACCCGCGGCACCTCCGCCGCTGCTGCCACGGGAGCGCTGCTGTTTGGCGCAGCGGTTGCGCGAATTCGCAGCGGTTGCGATGCGAAATGCGACTTGAGTGACGTGGCGGAAGGTAACGGGACACGCTGACCCTGGATGTGGAGGGAGAAGATGATTCAATGGGATGGGTGGAATACCAATTGACAATGCTGCGGCATCCCACTGACTTTGCCTTGTTCCGACCATCAATGCGACAATCATGTGCTTAGCGACTGCTTTCAAGTTATTAATGAAGCACGCTTTAAGGAGTTCTTTCTCTACGGGCTTGTTTCTGACGGACGCGGAACTTACTGAAACGCTCTTAATGCCGACTGCTGCGGCTTGGCTCGGTTTCAGGGAGAAAGACAAAGACGCCGAGGGAGCGAGGGTTTCCATGGTCGGCAACGACGGAGTTCTCTCAGCCGCTATATCACGCACGCTACTCCGTTAGTGATCGCAAAAAATAGCAGTTGCCGCGACGTAGAAAGTGGAATCTGAAATCCAGGAATGGCTGGATGGGTGGTGGAGTGTTGCTTGAAATGGCTGGAATTTGGAAGTAGGGGACCTTGAAAATGCCGAATTCGTCACTAGCACAAGCCCGTCGGCACTTGGCATTCGCATCACATGCCCTTCAACGACATTGTGCCTGCAAAGAGGGGAAGTGTTTCTCGTGTTCTTCAAACGAGTCTATTGACGTGGAGGATTTTACACGCGTCCGCGTGTTCAGCATCCAGAAGTGACGGGCTCGCTGAGCTACCGCCACGTGCCAAGATACAAATACTCCAATTTTGTGTAAGCATCATGCACTGTACGCACTAAATTATATCTTGCATGATCCACAATAAGAGTGCGGCGTTAGCGAGGTCCGCGGTGTTCTGGAATTTTGCCCCCCGCTTCAAGCACTCGAAAAACGCTACAGCGTTTGAAATTCTGGTCACTGTTTCTGACACCCACCCTGATGAAATCCATGGCGGAGAAACAGATTCCTCCATCCTCCTCACAAACGTGAACTGATGAAATCGTTGCATCACTGATTATGATGCAGAGGCCAGTTACCGGCTTTCAGTTAGTCCGATAGAACTTAGAAGCACAACCGGTTTAATTTTGCGTAACGGCAGAACTAGTGAAGGCCACTCGCAGCGGAATTCGGGTTATTTTCTTCGCGATTCGGATCAGAATCGGCCACTTTGTCGAGGTTCGGTGCGTCTGGCGGCACGACCAGATTCGCTCAGCGATAGCCGGGAAGAAGCTTTGAAGTTTGCAGGAGCAATATATGACCGTTTTTACCGCCGGTTAACCACGGATTCGGACTCGTCGCCAGGCTCGTCGTCACATTAATCGCCAGCGACGATGAAGGCGTCGCTGACGACATGTACGATAGCATGAATTACCTCCCTCGGTTGATTAATCATTGCTGAATGTTGGCTCCTGTGCTAGTCGTTCATGAGCCATCAGACCCTTGACGTAGAACCTTGTTCCCTGGGCGCTTCGGTTCGTTGATCTCCTGTTTCTCACCCAGTTTTCGGCGTTTCTTCTCACCTTGATGGCTTCCTCCATAGCCGTTACTTTCATGCATTCGGTCCTTTCCAGTGAACCAGCGGATCATTGTGATCTTGCAAACACGGATACGCCGTTTTTCACGTTCTGTTAGACTCTGCTCATGAGAATATTCTTCAGTGCTTCCCTTTCCATATGCTCTCCAAAACTACTTCCTGGATTCAACAGACACGGAGCTCTCGGATCTCCCGTCCTGTTGCACCCCCGGCATGACCCAGCGTTCCCCTCTCCCCGTTTCCATATAACTTTCAAAACTAAATTCGTGATTCGACAGACACAGAGCTCTCGGACCTCACATCCTCACTGGCGGATGGTTCACCGGAGGTTCAGCAGGCAGCCGTGGATGCACTCAAGTCCATCGCCGCCGTGTGAGTTGGTGTGGATTTCTTGTACACCCGTGGATGTGCTCCCTGGCTCATTCAGACACTCACGCCGTCCGCTTTACATTTAATGTACAGCTGTGGATGCGCTCAAGTCTGTTGCCGCAGTGTGAGTTTGCATTGAAGAGTCTTTCGTAAATCATCTTGTTTCCAATCCAAACACTCACACCCGCTCCTAGTAATTCCAGGCTGTTCCCAATCTGCATACATTCTGTTTCCAGGTTCCATTTATGTTTGTTCCAAGAATGCATGTACTCACTGTTTCTGACATGTGTCCTGTTTGCTTGCAGTAACCCCAAGCTCGTTCTGCTCTTCTGTTCTGAGCTTCTCCAATCCGGTCAGGTAAAATGCTGAAACTTGAGACCAACCTCTTCTCTGCCAATGTTGCCACCATCAGCATGCTCGTATCTGTCTACTGCCATCAACGCGTCTGTGCTTCTCGCCGTTGCGCTTTTGCAATCCTTCCCTTCCCCTTCCCCTCCCTTTTTGTTCCCAATTCCGTCCCTTTTTTCCTCCCCTCAGAGCACGAGCCTGTGGTGGTCGGTGCCTCAGCTGGCCCAGCACCACAAGACAAACCTCTTCTCTGTCATCGCCGCCACATTAGCAAACTTGAATCCGTCTCCTCTGTGATTGCGTGCCTGCACACTCCCCCATTTCCACCCTCAGAGCACCAGCCTGTGGTGGTCGGTGCCTCAGCTGCCGCAGCACCACAAGACCAACCTCTTCTCCGTCATCGCAGCCTCTATCAACTCCCTCACTCGCCAGCAACACTCTGCTGCTGCTGCTGCTGCTGCTGCTGCTGGGGGAGTCTCAGCAGGGGCTGAAGGAGCAGCATGGGGGGCGGTCGCAGCAGGCGGGGTGTCAGCAGAAGGTGCAGGAGTGGGGATGGGTTCAGATGGGGGGGGAGGGGTGTCGGATCACACTATGCTGGTGCAGAGCATCAAGCTTGCATTGGCAGAGATGCAGGTGGCAGGACGATCAGGCACTGGCAGCGCCCAGGTGCGTTGAACCTGGACAGGTCATGGAAACATCCCATGTGCTTGTGCGGAGCGTCTCTCCTCCATGTCCCCATGTCTCTCTCTTCCTCTTATCTCTCCTCCCGTTCTCCTTCCTTCCTCCTCCCCCCTTCCCACCTTCCGCTTCACGCTTTTCCCCTCCACATTGTGCTCCTTATCCCCATGGCATGCACAATGCAGGACATTGGCTCGCCTCTGAACGTGGCTGTAGCATCTGTCATCACGGCTGTAGCAGCTGCGTCCACTGCGCTGGTAATTCCCTGCCCATCATGCTGCTCTACACCACATGCTGTGCCTTTTTGGTGGGGGGGATTTAGGGGTTGGGGTCACTCCCTGTCTCACCATCCACTGTTTCTTAAGCAGCATGTGAGTCGGCTCAAAAGCAGCACTTGCATTGCGAACCCGCATGCAAGCGTTGTCAATGTGCGTGCCTGATTGCCATCCATCTCTGCCTGCCACGTGTCTCCATCTCTGCCTGCCACGTGTGCAGGCTCTGGACGAGGTTTTCTGTGTGCCACAGCCACCGCTTCATCTCATTGCTGATGCCTTCGGCCAGATGGCAAAGAATAGACGTGAGTCTTTATTTTCTTCTCCTTCGTTTTCCTTATCTGTTGGGATCTAAACGTTTGACCCACCCAAGCTGCACCATCTCACTCGCTTCCTTTGTCCCTTCGTCACCACACCATCCACATCCACATTCCCCCGCATCCGTTTTTCAACCCACCCAGCCCATACCCTCTCCCACCCCCCATTTCCGCCCCTCTCCCCATATCCAGCTGCTGTTTTCTGGGGGGCTGTCTGGCCCTTTTTGTAGACGCCTCAAGAATGGTACGCTGAGGAAGATCGTGTCACAGCTGCTGACAAAACAAAACACAACTCTTTCTTCACCTCTCTACCTGTAATCTCCACCCCCCTCCATCCATCCCACGTTCATCCAGCTGCCGTCTTCCGCGCCATGTGGTCGCGTGTGCTGTGGAATATTGCCCCACAGCTGCTCGCAATACGAATCACCATGCTTTCTTCCCCTCTCCCCACTGATGCGTTCCTTCGGTTATGCCTCTCCCTGAGATCCAGCTGCTGTGTTCCGCGCCGTGTGGCCGAATGTGCTGCGAAAGATCGTTCCACAGCTGCTGAGTGTCACAGAGACCACCAAGCACGTCTTTGCTGATGGTGAGGGTGAATCGGTGCTCCCTGCAACCAACTTGTTGAATGAACTTCCACGTTTTGACACTCTATTCTCAATCAACTCCCTAGTGTTGAATTCAGAGCTGGTTACAGTTCCTGGATTTCAACCCTCACGAATCAACCCCCATCCCATGTTTCAGCGTGTCCCACGTATCCCATATTTCCTTCCCACGTGTCTTACTTCCACCCACTTCAAATCCCCCGATTTCATGCATCTGCCATGCCAGCAATCCCCCACTGGTGCCAGGCAATCACCCAGCTTTAGAGCATGTCAAGGTTTGATGCTCCCCATCCACCCATTTCCCCTACCCACTCCAACCACCCAGCGATCGCCCACTGGTGCCGGGCATTCACGCACGGGCAAGGCATGGCTGTGGTGCTGGCGCCGCCTGGGCATTCACCCATCTCTAGAGCACGGCACGGCTTGATACGCCCCCCCTCCTTTTCCCCTCCCCGCCCCCATGTTGCTAACCTATCACCACCCAGCGATCGCCCACTGGTGCAGTGCATTCACCCACGGGCAAGGCATGGGATAGTTTGAATCATCTCCCTCCCTTTATTCCCCCTCCTCGCCCCCATGTGACCTACCTACCATCATCCAGCAATCGCCCACTGGTGCCGGGCAGGGCATTCACTCACGGGCAAGGCATGGGATAGTTCGAATCATCTCCCTCCCTTTATTCCCCCTCCTCGCCCCCATGTCACCTACCTACCATCATCCAGCAATCGCCCACTGGTGCCGGGCAGGGCATTCACTCACGGGCAAGGCATGGCTGTGGTGCTAGTGCTGCAGGAGAGACGAGGCAGGGAGGGAGGGAGGAGGGGAGAAAAGCATCTCTTTGTTGACCATCTGCCACGTACCTCCAACCCCTGTCCCCCTCCCCGTCTATTTGTTCCCCTCCCCGTTCCCCTGTTCTCCTCCTGAACCCCGTGTCACCCACCCACCCACCCACCTACCTACGACCCCAGCGATCGCCCACTGGTGTCGGGCTTTCACGCACGGGCAGGGCATGGCTGTGGTGCTAGCGCTGCAGGAGAGACGAAGCAGGGAGGCGAGAGGGGATGTGAATCAGGAGGGTGGAGCACCGTCAGATGAGCTCAGGAATATCCCATGGACGGCTGAAGATTGGGAGGAGTCTGTGTGAGTCTTGAGATGCGCTGATACTCGCGATGGTGTGAGTGAGTGTGAGCAGCACAGCTGGTGTTTTTGAGACGTCTCTAAAATACCCTTTATACACGTGTTTGGGTTCTCCTGTCTGAATGCATTTCCGTACTGCGATTTGGAGTGTGATGTTGTGATCTCCATCTGCCTCTTCCTTCCATTCCTCTGCATCGCCCTGTCTGTCCCTCCCAGTGCTCTCCTCCAGTCCGCGTTCGACCTTTTCTTGCAGCGATGGCTCCTCTCTTCCTCCTCGCCTGTAAGTCCCACGCCCTGCAGCTTCCCGTTATTACCCTGTTAACCATCCTCTCTGTATGTCTCCGTGTCGCTCCCAGTGCCCTCTTGCAATCTCCCTTCAACCTTTCCACAGAGCATTTTGTTTAAACAATCATCGATGCCATGTTCCTCTCCTCCGACACTTCTCCCCTCTCTCCCCCCAGACTCGGCTATCCCCAGCCAAGGCCACGGCGGAAACGGCGTTTCTGCTGCAGGAGAGCTACCTGTGTTGAGGCATCTTGAGTGCCAAATGCCTTGTTCTAATGTATCCCCGTTTGTTCTTTCTGCAGGCCCGGCTATCCACAGCCAAGGCGATGGCAGAGATGGCGTTTCTTCTGCAGGAGAGCTACCTGCGCTCCACCCTCAGCGCTCTGCTGCCCGCCCTTCGCTCCCTGTGAGTGTGCATGGTGTCAGAAGAGTTATGCTAATAGTGCGCCAGAGAAGTATCAGCACACTGATACACATTACAGACAATACCAACCAACTCCTATAATTCTATGGTTGCCACCACATAGAATGTCCTTGAATTGAACCTGAGATTACCTCCTCTTTTCCAAGTGTTCTCCTCAGGTACGGCAAGGAGCCAGAGGAGTAGCACGTACACGTTACAGACGGCCTCGGTACCCTCTGGAGAGCTCTTCTGGGCGGCAGCCCAGATCCAGGCACAGACTCGTGACTTAACAAAAGCATGCTCCCTCCTTCCCTGTTCTCAGGTATGGCAAGGAGCCAGAGGAGTATCAGCACGTACACGTTACAGACAGCCTCGGTACCCTCTTGAGAGCTCTTTTGGGCGGCAGCCCAGACCCAGACGGGCCTTCCGAGGCACAAATCGCCAGCAGCACCGGTGACAGCAGTTGCAAGAGTGGTGGTGGCCTTGGGGGGCCTGAGCAGGGGCTATCTGGGGAAGACCAGGCTTTATCTGGGCCAACAAGGGAAGTCGATGCAAGCATGGCCAGTGCTGCTGCTGCTGCCAGTGCTGCTGCTGCTGCCAGCGCTGCTGCGATTCTTGGGCGGCCCAAACCAGGAATCAATCCAAAGGTGCGAATACGGTGATAGCTTTTAAGTCGACTCAAAAGTCACTGCAGCTAGTGCAGCTGTGATTCTTGGACGGCCCAAGCCAGGAATCAATCCAAAGGTGCGAATACAGTGGTAGAGAGGGATGGTTAGGGATAGTAAGGGATCGTTTTTTTAGGCGCCTCAAAGGTGCGAATACGTTGGTAGCAAAGGATAGTAAGGGATAATTCAGCCATTGCTGAATGTTGACTAGTCCTAGAATCAGCTGCTGCTGGCCCCCACTTTCGCGAACATCCCAATGACCTGGGTGCTGCTGCCCCCCACTTTGGAATTCCTCCTCACCCTGATAGGCCGCTACATCAGCCGGCTGAGGTTGATTTATTTAAGTTACTCGTAAGAACTCTTAAAGATGACTCCTTCATTCATCCCCATCTCTCCCAGGTGCTACTCCCCGAGTTGGAGTTTCCACTCGCCTTGATAGGCCACCACACCAGCCGGCTGAGGTTGAACTTGGTTTCTTTTGAGTAGTCTGAAAAAGAAACCAGTTTTTCCTTGCATTGTGCATCCCCATCCATTCAAGGTGCTGCTCCCCACGTTGGAGTCCCCCCCTGCCTTGATAAGCCACTATGCCAGCTGACTGAGGTTTATTGGAGTTACTTCTGAGAACTCTTCAGAACTATACCTCGTACATCCCCATCCATCCATCCCAGGTGCTGCTCCCCACGTTGGAGTTCCTACTCGCCCTCATAGGCCACTACACCGACCAGTTTTGTTTAAGTTGAAATACTCTTGAGAACAATGATAATCTCCTCACTAATTCCCATCCCAGGTGCTGCTCCCCACGTTGGAGTTCCTACTCGCCCTCATTGGCCACTACACCAGCCGCCTGAGCTCCAACGCTGCTGATATCCGCATTACCATTACTGTGAGTAAACCACATCCGTGTTAATCAACCCCGTCACTGTGATTTAACCGCTTGAATATTGTAAAAACCCTCACCGTTTGTTTATCACAGCAGTGTGAGTGAATGCCGTCCGTCACTGTGAGTAATTACGACTGCATTTGTTATATTTGAATACGATACAACTCACTGGGACTCAGTTTATGAGTCCTATGGTTCTGAGACATGCCATGCCATACGTGCGCCTCTCTGATAATGCCTCTCGCTCACAGGGACTCAACACAGCCATGCGGTGCGCAATGACCATCACAGAGGCCTCCGTAGAGCATGAACGCATGCACCCTTTCTATGGATGGATCTTGGCCATCTAATGCGTCTCATCCTGCATGCCTCCTCTCATGCCTCTCACTCACAGGGACTCAACACAGCCATGCGGTGCGCAATGACCATCACAGAGGCCTTCCCCCAACACGCAAGCGCCTTTGCCATCCAGGTGAGTGACCAAGGCAACTCAACCTCACTCTTCTGTATCGACTGACAATTATTTAGTGGCCAATATCTTGAGATCATTTTCGCCAAGATCAGAGTACGTTTTTGGCCACATTGAAAAGAACACTCACGGATCTTAACCACTGGATTCCTTACCATCTACCTTTGCCCTCTCCTGTTGTCCGCTTCGTGGCCTCTCTCCTGCCCTACCACCACAGAGGGCGGCTCACAGAGGAGTAGATGTGCGGATCAGGCAGGGTGCGCTGGTTTTACTGCGCCGCATTGTGACCAGGTGTGTGTGTATCGGGTTGTCTCGTGTCGTGTCTCGTGTCACGTATCCAAAATGAATAGTGCATGTGCGCATTTTGAATGCTACTGCACTAGTCTTAGAAAGACTTGTCCAGGTACACAGTATCTTGAATGCTGCTTAACAAGTCTTAACAAGTGTACTGCACTATGACCTTGAATACTGTGCAGCATGTCTCAACAAGTCTTAACAAGTGTGGGCGGGCAGCGAGGAGCAGTTCTGCCAGGGCGCGAAGGCATGTGCGCAATTTTTAAGCTGCTTAACAAGTTTCTCTCTAACGAATCCTGCATTGCTTGCGTGCCATGCGCTCCTCTACACTGTGCAGCATGCCACAAGTGTGGGCGGGCAATGAGGAGCAGTTCTGCCAGGGAGCAATCTACATCGTCCAATCAGAAGAGACAATGGAGAGCACGCAGGACACGTCAGCACAGGATATTTTCGCTCTGGGGTGGGTTCAGGGACGTTCATCCCTGATTCACCCGTCCTTAGGCCTCCCCTCTAGCGACCCCTCCAGCCCTCCAGGGGTTTCTGCTAGCCCTAGAGGCGGAGAGTGGGGGGGATTGAGGGAAACAGGAGGAGGAGCAGGAGGAGCAGCCGTGGGGTCGAGCAGTGGTGGAGGAGGGATGGGCGGAGGGGCAGGGGGAGGAGGAGGAGGATCAACGGTGGGAGGAGGAGGGTCAGGAGCAGCAGCAGGAGGGGTGTCGCCGATAGAGGCGGTGCTGCTGCGGCCAGTGGGAGAGGTGGAGGTGGAATGGAGCTCTGCATGTGCTTCCCTGCTGGGGGCAGCTGTGCTTGTGCCCAGGAATACCCCGTGTGACGAGACTCGCAAGGAGATTGTGCAGGTAAGAAAGCAGTGTAGTGCATTCAGGAGGTTCAGTAGGAGCAGCAGGAGGGGTGGTGTCGCCGATAGAGGCGGTGCTGCTGCGGCCAGTGGGAGCGGTGGAGGTGGAGTGGAGCTCTGCGTGCTCGTCCCTGCTGGGTGCGGCTGTGCTTGTGCCCCGGATTACACCGTGTGACGAGACTCGCAAAGAGATCGTACAGGTAATCTCTACGGTGCCTCATTTGGAGCTCAGCCTGTGCACCCTTGCTGTTAGCAGCAGTGCTTGTGCCCAGGAACGTGATGAGACATGCAAGAAGATCATACAGGCAATCTTGGGAATGCCTCAGAAGGATCCTTGCCTGTGCGTACCTGCTGGCTGGAAGCAGCTGTTCACAACCCTTCCCTTCCTTCCTGCCCCTTGTTCCCACTCGCAACAGCTCATAATCTTCCTTTCCCTGCCTGCCCCATGGTCCCCACCCCCCTCCTCAGCTGATCCTCGCCATGGCAGCCACCAATCAGCTGCTGCCAGCTCACCCAGTCCCCGCCTACCACCTCCTCTTCTTCCTCATCTCCCAAGCTGGCCGCTCTTTCCGTCCCGCCCCTTCCTCCTCCCACCCCTCCTCCTCCTCTCACTCCTCACACACTTCTTCCACTGATAGCAGTACCAGCACCAGCAGTGGTGGTAGTGGGGCGGCGAGGGAGGCAAGGAGGAGGGCGGCAGGAGGGGGAGGGGAGGAGGATCCGCTGTATCACGTGTGCAGCAAGGGACTGAGTATCCTTGCCAATACCGTGCATACCATGGATGTGAGTCACACCCCTCTTAAGGAGTGGTTTGGTTTGGAGGCCCTTTGAAGAGAGCTCCTGGGGTGTATTGCGTGTGCAGCAAGGGACTGAGCATCCTTGCCAATACCGTGCATACCATGCATGTGAGTCACCCATGCATGTGAGTCACCCATGGATGTGAGTCACCCATGCATGTGAGTCACCCATGGATGTGAGTCACCCATGGATGTGAGTCACCCATGGATGTGAGTCACCCATGCATGTGAGTCACCCATGCATGTGAGTCACCCATGCATGTGATTCACCGATTTATACACCCCTCTCAAGTATAATAGCTTTCGTTCAGAGAGCCTCTGTACTGTTTCAGATGTGCGATTCAGTTTTGAGTAATCTCAAAAGTAGTGTTATGTGTGCCTGAATGAAAGGGTTTATCCCCTGGGTATGTCTCTGCTCCTGATTCTGCAGGATGTGTTGCTTCTGGCTCTCCTGCGATCGCTGGTGAAGTCAAGTCTTGACTGCATTCTGCCACTGGTAACCGCATTCTGCCACTTATGGTATCATCGCATCACACTATTCTTGTCAGCACACAAATTCACTCGATAGTACCCTTCTAAACGCTGGTCCTGCCATACTTATTAATTGGATATCATATTGCATCTGTAACAAGCACTATCACAGTGTTCTTGACTGTCTCTCATCATTGCGTGTTGAATCGTGTTCCGTCTCTTACCTTCTGTGTCCCGCTGTTTACTCACGTCCATCCTGTCCCTCCCCACCCCCAATCGCAGGTCCTGCAATGCTTATCAACAATCATCGCACGAAAGACACCCTCTGCTGCCCCTGAAGCGGGGGACGAACCTGGGACTGGAGTGCCAGCCAGTGGAACAGGCGGGGCCGAGGGGACGACCAGTGGCTATGGGAGTGAGGGAGGGAGTAACGGAGGGGACGCAGGGGGTGGTACAGTGGGTGCAGCTGAAAAGGTCGAGAGTGCAGAGAGGGAGATCCGGGGGCTTTCCCAATTCAAGCTGCCGCCTCTGGAGGTACTATGACCCAGGTGTGGATCTAGTTGACCTTCCCAAAAGTCACCTGGGGGTACCAAACCAAGGGTGTGTACCTGGTATTGTACATTTGATTCAACTCAAAAGTCACCTGGAGGTACTACTAAGGGTGTGATCTGTAAATCTGCTTTGCTCAAACTTGGGACGGTTACTGCTCTGCACCGTGGTGGTGCCCTTTTATGAATTACGGACTTGCTGTCCATCGCGCTGTCTCCCTCTCCCTTCTTCCCAGGAGCTTCTACCGCGGTTGCTTGTTCTGCTAGGAAGTGACAAGACACTCACCGATGCACCGAGGAGGATGAGAATCTTCCAGGTGACTTCCTTGCCTTGTATGGCCTCCTCTCCTGTATGACTAGTCTAGGCATCATAAAAGCTTCCCATACCACTCCGTCGCTTTCTTAGTCTCCAGCCTTCAAGCATCCTCTCGTCTGAACCAATCAAATAAGAAGTGGTGCAAAAGACTAGAGAATCAGCTTGAAGGAGCCCTCCTCTTGCTCTCAGCCTTCAAACACCTTGTTTAGTAGCCTCTCAGATGGTTGCTTTGCCTTTGTCTTTTAACCAACCATTCTCACGCAACCCGGCCTCAACCCTCGGTGGTTTGTCCAAATGACGAGAAATGCTGTTTACCCAGACATAGAATTGGTTTCTTCCTACTTGTTTCTACTTGGACGACTCTACTTTGATGATTCCGCATTGACGTTTCTGCATTGATTGTTCTGGGTTGATGATGTATGTTTCTGTGTTCATGGTTCGACTTTGATACTTTTGCAGGTCCTGGAGTTTGTTCGCCAGAGCACTCTACCTTCTGCGTTTGAGTCTCTCGCTCTCGACGTAAGTCCACTTGGTCTTGCCTGGTCTGCGCGCTATGTTATATTCGTGTATTTTCCTTTGCTCGTCGTGTGCAAAAATATAGCTATGCACCCCTACTCGTTGCTCCTCTGGGGGTGCGTGGCTTTTAGTTTGCAAACTATCATATTGGTACTTAGGCATTTCTCTCTGAGGATGAACTTTGAAGAATAAAAATCTTATGAAATACTTCTTCTGTTTCTTGTCACTCTCTTCCTTACTCCCAACCCACCGCTTTTTTACAAAATCGAGCACAGTAAATTGAACCGCTTTCCCTCCTTTCCTCCTTCCTACCCCCTCTTCCCTCCTCCCCTCCATCCCACCTTCCCATCAGATCGAGCACATGACGCACTTAGCAGAGCGCCTGGGGAACAAACAGTCTCTGGAGCGCAGAAGAGCTGTTTGGCAGGACGCTACCATGAAGGTAATAAAATCTTGTGAGGCGCCTCATAACTTTTGAGGCACCTCATAAATTTGGTAAGCGCCTGGGGAACTAACAGTCTCTGGAGCGCAGAAGAGCTGTTTGGCAGGACGCCACCATGAAGGTAATTAACCCTTTCCAGAGCACAAGGAAATCAGTTTGGCAGGGTTCCAACCAAGGTGAAGGCAATGAGGAAGCTTATAATGAGATTTTTTAGGCGCCTCAAAATGTGGCAGGGTTCCAAAAAATTACTGGATGAAGGTAATGAGGAAGCTGGTTATAAGGTTATGAGCACCCTTTGTTCGTGGAGGTTCGGTTCGGATTGTCTCTTGAGTTTTGTTAAATGTGACTTGTTTATTTGAGCACCATTCGGATTGTATCTTGTGTTTATTTAAAGGTCGAGCAGGGCCAGATGTCGTTCTCCTTGTGTGGAGTGGAGTGTTCACTCTCTGTGGCGCTTCTCCCGCAACCCATCTCCCGGTTTCTTGCTGTGACTCTCTGTGGTCCTTCGAGTGAGAGTGCAAATGGACATGGCAGGCAATCAGATGTGCAGCTGTGCTGAAGCTGTTTCAATCTCTATCTCGCTCATTCTGCTTCTGCCCTTATCCCTGTGTTCCTTCGTTTCTTGGGTGATTCGTGGGGTATGGCATGGCATGAGCCAGCGTTTTTTTAACTCACATTTGCGTGATTTTTTTGTGCTCTTGTCTCTTTGAATACTCTCCTTGAACACGTGTGGGCATCATATCATATTATTCTTGTCCTCAGATGCTCAAGAGAGCAGCTGTATTTAAAACTCTCCTTGAACACCTGTGGCATCATATCATATTATTCTTGTCCTCAGATGCTCAAGAGAGCAATCGACGCTGTGAACCATGCCGACTGGACCGCGCGGGTGTGTGACGGCTTTGCTGCCTTCTACCTGTGGCCGTGCATGGATGCCAGTCAACACATCCTGCTGCACAGGTGGGTGGGTTACTGCTTCTTGTAGCGAGCATGCATGGATGCATGTATGTGTGCGTGGCACATTGTATTGGATTGGGTTTGTGTTTGGCGGCTTTGCTGCTTTTACTTGTGGTCGTGTATGGATGCAAGCCAACACATCCTGCTGCACAGGTGTGTAACTCAACTACCCAGGATAAGCATACCCGCGCATATGAGCATACGTGCATTATTCTCTTAGTGATAACTCAACCAAAGTTCACATTTTTTCTCTCTCCTTCCTCTCCCCCTCCTGCCTCCCTCACACCAGGTGCATGGGGGCGCTTGTCCAGCGGGCGGCAGACGCCGTCTTTATTCAGCGCCGGGTGGCTCTCATGTTTGACTCTGCCGCCCTCTCTGACCCCCTAGACCGGCATGCCCTTGCCATGGGGCTAGGCACGGTGAGTCTCTCCTTTCTTCTCTTCTCTGTCCTTTGCATGTTAGAGACTTGATCGCCCCTCGGGCCACCCTACCCGCGCTCATGTTTGACTCTGCCGCCCTCTTAACCCTCTCGACCGGCACGTCCTTGCCATGGGGCTCGGCACTGTGAGCCTCTCCTTTCCTCTTCTCAGTCCTCTGCTGTGAGTGGGGCTTGGCTTGGCACGTTGGCTCTCCTTGCAGCAAGTTCGCAACTCGTACACTGTCTCCAACCTGCAGCCTGCAGCCGTGTGTTGCCTTCTCTCTGCTCACTCAACTCCCACTATGTCCTGTCCCCTGTTTTCTCTCCCTCTGCAGGTGGCGGCAGTGCATCTCGATGTGGTGTTGGCCACCTTGGAACAAGTCCTTGACTCCTACTCTGTCTCCAATCTGCAACGGTATGTTTCCTCTTTTTTTTTTTTTTTTCTGTAGTTCTTCGTTGTCAAATGAATCATATCAAAATGTTCTGTCTTTTCATAAGAGTGAGACATGAGGTATAATAAGCTACTTGGCCATTGGCCTGTCCCAAAACCCCCCTCCCTTTCCTGTTCCTTTCTCAACGCTTTCATCCCCTGCCTAGTTTTCCATTGCCCACAGCACATATATACCTGTTTTTGTTAGGATCCTTGGCTCCCATTCGGTCGTCTTCTGTGAGAAGACAACTTTTTAGACATCACAAAACCTTCTCCAATCTTTCTCCATGCGCTTTTTTCCCTTGCCCGCAGCATATACCAGTTTGTCAAAACCCTCGGCTCTCAATCGGCCATCTTCATTCCCAAAACCTCCTCCTCCTCTTCCTCCTCCTCCGCTTCCTCTGCTTCCTCTGCCCCCAAGCTCACTCTTCCGCCTCTCGAGCGACTCTTTAAGAAGGAGACTGCCACGTCAGCAGCTGCTGACTTCCTCCGGGACCCGCTGATGCATGATGACGTGTGCGCTGCGTTGGCGCTGACGTATCGGTACACAGTGGCCTTCTCGGAAGCTTCCGTGGTGGATTCGCGCATCAGAACACTGCTGGTCAGTTAAATTCGCATAAGATCTGGCGATGGTGCAATCCATCTCACTCTCACACTCGCCTCTGCTGATCTCTTCCCTCTTACACCCTGTTTGTTTTGTTCCCTCTTGCTCTTGTACCACCCACACGGTCCCACCCCTTGCCCCGATCCATGCAGGATGCGAACGTGTTTGCTCCCTTAGCTGCTGTGACGTCCCTCCCAGCCAAGGCAGCCGTGGTCCAATCCATCCTCACACTCGCCTCTGCTGCTCTCACTGCCCCTCCATCCGCGCTCACCACCCCTCCACCGCCCCATTCAAGCGCTTACCCAGCTGCCCATTTAGCCCCAGTCCTTTCGACTTCAACAAGTCATGTAACGGCCTCCTCCATACCACAAACAACCGCCATTAATCTCAAGAGTCGCGACGATCTTATCAGCTGCTGCCTCCATTTCCTCCCACCCATCCCCTCCCCGCACCCTCTCACACCACCCTCCATATCCTCCTCCTCTTCCACCTCCTCACCTCTACCCACCTCCTCCTCCTCCTTGGCTTCCTATGCTTCCTCTACGTCCTTCTTTCAGTCGCCTCTCGCCGCTCCTACTCCTGTCTCTTTCCCCGGACCAACGAGTACCTCTGTACCAGCCGCAGCCCCAGGCTCGGCTGCAGGCTTGGGTGTAGGCTCGAGCTCAGGCTCGGCAGCAGGTGGTGTTGCCGCGCCGAGGTTTATTGTGAGGGTGAGGGGGGCTGGTGACGCGGATGGGGGCACAGGGGGAGCGGGAGGGGGAGGGGGAGTGGGTGGAGGAGGGGGAGGGGGAGGGGCATACGTGTTAGGGGAGGAGGAGGTGCGGCTTCAGATGGCATGTGTGCGGGCGTGCACAGCTTTGATCCAATCTCATCCGCAGCTCACTTCAGCCGTTCGCAAGAGTGTGCAGGTGAGATGAGGGAGGGGCAGGCGAGCAAGCATTGGTGCAGGTGAGGTTAAGTTCGGGTGATTGGCACTGTTTCATCTCAGTGGCTCTCAACCCCTCTCAATCTCTCTCACTCCCATCTCAATAACTCTCAACCTCTTTCCACCTCTTCCAGGCGGTCACTCCACTGCTGTGCATTGACGACTCACCACTGGCTGAGCGTGTGAAAGGAGGAGAGAGAGGAGTGGGGAGAGGAGGAAAAACGGTGATAGGAATAGTGGATGTGGAGGGAAGGGGCGGAGGAGAGGGGAGGAAGGAGCGAGAGGGATCTAGTTCAAGTGGATCAGATAGTGAGAGTGACTGTGAGGAGGATGTGGAGAGAGAGAGGAGGAAGGAAAGAGGGGGAACGAGGAGGGCGAGGAGGACGAGTGGGAGGGAGAGGAGGGGAAGACGGCAACAGCTTGGTCCATTGGCTGTCAGTGTCATCTCTCTGCTCTGTAGCGTGCTACAGATGAGGTGAGATACAGAGGAGGTGAGCAATAGATATGGTGACAGGGTCAAGGATGGGAAGGAGGAAGAGAAAGAGCTTCCACACATTCACGCTCCGCCTCATGCGCTCGTCTAACCAGCCACCACATGCCACCACATGCCACCACATGCCACCACATGCCACCACATGCCACCACATGCCATGCCACCTCATGCCACTACATGCCACTACATGCCACTACATGCCACTACATGCTACTACATGCCATCCCCAGCCACCACATGCAACCACATGCCACCTCATGCGTAACCTTCAACTCTCCCTGCTCACGCTCTCTCTTCTCTCTTCCTTCTTCTTGCAGCAACGTGGACAGCAAGGAGGAGGAGGAGCAGTTACAAATCATGCCCTCCCTCCTCCTTGTTCTCATTACCGCATCCAACTAGCTATCATATGCCACAACCCACTCTCCATCTCCCCATCTCTCTCTTTTTCCTCTCCCTTCTCGCAGCAACGTGGACAGCAAGGAGGAGGAGGAGCAGCTGCAAATCATGCTCTCCCTCCTCCGCCCCCTCCTCTCCCTCCTCCTCCCACCCCCTCCTCCTCCCCAGCCCTCCTCCCACCTACCCTCAGCCCTCAACCCCACCACTCTCCTATCCTCTGCATTCCCGGCAAACACCACTCCACCCAGTAGCACCCATCCCAACCCAGCAGCACCGCTTCAAACCCAAGCAGGCAGCAAGCCTGGTAGTAAGCCCAGCAGCCGACCTTCCAGCAAGCCTGGCAGCCAGCCAGGGAGCCCTGGCCCCCGGGCAAGAGGGAAATCAAACCTGGGCGGTGGAGCAGGAGGAGGAGAGAGAGGAGGAGGAGAGGACGGAGAGGGAAGAGAGGGAGGAGAGGGAGGGAGGGAAGCGTCGAGGCAACAGGAGAGAGGAACCGGAGAGGCGGAAGCAGCATCAGCAGTGGAGATAGTGGCATTGGCGCAGCAGAGGGTTCTGACGACGTACCTGGCAGTGTGTGCTCAGTTCCATGCGCTGGCACTAGGGGAGCAGGGGCTGCCAGACTGTTGTCTGGAAGACGTACGCGATTTTCTCGAAGCTAGCAGCGGTGGAGTGCGGTACACGGAAAGACAGCAAGGTAAGGCGTGTGGTCTAGCGACGGGGTAACTTGCAGTGTGTGCTCAGTTCCATGTGCTGGCACTTGGAGAGCAGGGTTTGCCGGGTTGCTGTAAGGAAGACGTGCGTGGGTTCCTTGCGTTCAGCAGCGGTGGAGTGCGGTACATGGAAACACAGCAAGGTAACGATGCAACATGTGTCCATTCCAGTTGTGAGAGTGCAACATTCCTCCCTTCATGGTGCATTCGGCACCATCGTGATTCAATTTAAGTCACTTCATAACACTCTCTCTGCCTCCCCTCCTTTCTCCCTTCCCTTCCAGCACGCCCACCCCCAGCACGCCCGTCGCTCGGTCTCAGCCCTTCTGTGCCAAGCGACTTTCGATTCACTGCAACGCACGCTCTCTGCTCCCCCCCCCCTTTTTCCCATCACCCTCCCCCCTCTTCTCAGAGCAACCCTCCTCCCTCTCCTCCCAGCGCGCCCCTCTCTCAATCCCAGCCATCACGTGGCCGTCGCGTTTCGAGACATCTCAAAACTTGCTTCATCTCTCCCTTCCCGTCCCACCAACCTCCCCTCCCCTTGCCTTCTCAGAGCAACCCCCCCCATCACGCCCGTCTCTCAACCTCGGGCATCACGTGGCTGTCGTTCTTCCCTTCTGTGCCAATGCCGACCCCACACTGCAATTGCTCGGCTGCAAGGTAGTGTTTTGTTGATTTTCTCTAAGAATGCCTGCCACAACAAATCCCTTGCGCCAATGCCGACCCCACACTGCAATTGCTCGGCTGCAAGGTAGTGTTTTGTTGATTTTCTCTAAGAATGCCTGCCACAACAAATCCCTTGCGCCAATGCCAAACCCACACTGCAATTGCTCGGCTGCAAGGTAGTGTTTTGTTGATTTTCTCTAAGAATGCCTGCCACAACAAATCCCTTGCGCCAATGCCGACCCCACACTGCAATTGCTCGGCTGCAAGGTAGTGTTTTGTTGATTTTCTCTAAGAATGCCTGCCACAACAAATCCCTTGCGCCAATGCCGACCCCACACTGCAATTGCTCGGCTGCAAGGTAGTGTTTTGTTGATTTTCTCTAAGAATGCCTGCCACAACAAATCCCTTGCGCCAATGCCGACCCCACACTGCAATTGCTCGGCTGCAAGGTAGTGTTTTGTTGATTTTCTCTAAGAATGCCTGCCACAACAAATCCCTTGCGCCAATGCCGACCCCACACTGCAATTGCTCGGCTGCAAGGTAGTGTTTTGTTGATTTTCTCTAAGAATGCCTGCCACAACAAATCCCTTGCGCCAATGCCGACCCCACACTGCAATTGCTCAGCTGCAAGGTAGTGATTTGTTGATTTTCTCTAAGAATGCCTGCCACAACAAATCCCTTGCGCCAATGCCGACCCCACACTGCAATTGCTCGGCTGCAAGGTAGTGTTTTGTTGATTTTCTCTAAGAATGCCTGCCACAACAAATCCCTTGCGCCAATGCCGACCCCACACTGCAATTGCTCGGCTGCAAGGTAGTGTTTTGTTGATTTTCTCTAAGAATGCCTGCCACAACAAATCCCTTGCGCCAATGCCGACCCCACACTGCAATTGCTCGGCTGCAAGGTAGTGTTTTGTTGATTTTCTCTAAGAATGCCTGCCACAACAAATCCCTTGCGCCAATGCCGACCCCACACTGCAATTGCTCGGCTGCAAGGTAGTGTTTTGTTGATTTTCTCTAAGAATGCCTGCCACAACAAATCCCTTGCGCCAATGCCGACCCCACACTGCAATTGCTCGGCTGCAAGGTAGTGTTTTGTTGATTTTCTCTAAGAATGCCTGCCACAACAAATCCCTTGCGCCAATGCCGACCCCACACTGCAATTGCTCGGCTGCAAGGTAGTGTTTTGTTGATTTTCTCTAAGAATGCCTGCCACAACAAATCCCTTGCGCCAATGCCGACCCCACACTGCAATTGCTCGGCTGCAAGGTAGTGTTTTGTTGATTTTCTCTAAGAATGCCTGCCACAACAAATCCCTTGCGCCAATGCCGACCCCACACTGCAATTGCTCGGCTGCAAGGTAGTGTTTTGTTGATTTTCTCTAAGAATGCCTGCCACAACAAATCCCTTGCGCCAATGCCGACCCCACACTGCAATTGCTCGGCTGCAAGGTAGTGTTTTGTTGATTTTCTCTAAGAATGCCTGCCACAACAAATCCCTTGCGCCAATGCCGACCCCACACTGCAATTGCTCGGCTGCAAGGTAGTGTTTTGTTGATTTTCTCTAAGAATGTCTGCCACAACAAATCCCTTGCGCCAATGCCGACCCCACACTGCAATTGCTCGGCTGCAAGGTAGTGTTTTGTTGATTTTCTCTAAGAATGCCTGCCACAACAAATCCCTTGCGCCAATGCCGACCCCACACTGCAATTGCTCGGCTGCAAGGTAGTGTTTTGTTGATTTTCTCTAAGAATGCCTGCCACAACAAATCCCTTGCGCCAATGCCGACCCCACACTGCAATTGCTCGGCTGCAAGGTAGTGTTTTGTTGATTTTCTCTAAGAATGTCTGCCACAACAAATCCCTTGCGCCAATGCCGACCCCACACTGCAATTGCTCGGCTGCAAGGTAGTGTTTTGTTGATTTTCTCTAAGAATGCCTGCCACAACAAATCCCTTGCGCCAATGCCGACCCCACACTGCAATTGCTCGGCTGCAAGGTAGTGTTTTGTTGATTTTCTCTAAGAATGCCTGCCACAACAAATCCCTTGCGCCAATGCCGACCCCACACTGCAATGGCTCGGCTGCAAGGTAGTGTTTTGTTGATTTTCTCTAAGAATGCCTGCCACAACAAATCCCCTGCGCCAATGCCGACCCCACACTGCAATTGCTCGGCTGCAAGGTAGTGTTTTGTTGATTTTCTCTAAGAATGCCTGCCACAACAAATCCCTTGCGCCAATGCCGACCCCACACTGCAATTGCTCGGCTGCAAGGTAGTGTTTTGTTGATTTTCTCTAAGAATGCCTGCCACAACAAATCCCTTGCGCCAATGCCGACCCCACACTGCAATTGCTCGGCTGCAAGGTAGTGTTTTGTTGATTTTCTCTAAGAATGCCTGCCACAACAAATCCCTTGCGCCAATGCCGACCCCACACTGCAATTGCTCGGCTGCAAGGTAGTGTTTTGTTGATTTTCTCTAAGAATGCCTGCCACAACAAATCCCTTGCGCCAATGCCGACCCCACACTGCAATTGCTCGGCTGCAAGGTAGTGTTTTGTTGATTTTCTCTAAGAATGCCTGCCACAACAAACCCCTTGCGCCAATGCCGACCCCACACTGCAATTGCTCGGCTGCAAGGTAGTGTTTTGTTGATTTTCTCTAAGAATGCCTGCCACAACAAATCCCTTGCGCCAATGCCGACCCCACACTGCAACTGCTCGGGTAATCCGCCACTGTTCCATTCACGCACATTTCACAAGTTAACCCCTTTCGCCCCGAGTTCCATTCACCCAGCTCAATGCCAATCTCCTTATCTAGCGATCTGCCATTCTGTCACCCGGCCACCCCCTCCCCTCACCCCATCAGGTGGTCCTGTTGCTCCTGACCACAGCTGTCGCCCTCTCCTCTCCACCTGGCGCCCTCCCAGTCACTGCTACCAACCCAAACCAGGGCACAACACCTGACAATGCACCTGGCATATCACCCGACCCCACCAGATCGCTGCAGCCATCAGAATTGGAACACTCCCCTCCTGCCTCTCCCTCCTCCTCTCTGCCTGTCTCCACTCACCCTGACACCGACCAAATTGAGGAAAGCACCGAAGCCAGCAGCCAGCAGGAAGAGCAGCCCGCAGCAGCAGCAGCAGCAGCAACTGCAGCAGCAACTGCAGCAGCAGCAGCAACTGCAGCAGCAGCAGCAGCAGCAGCAGCAACTGCAGGCTCTTCTTCTTCTTCTTCTTCTTCCTCTGAAGCAACCCAATCCACAACCTCCATGCCAGGGGGCAGTCACTCCGCCCTCCTTGCTGCTCTAGAAGCCAAGGTCTCTGCAGCAACGCCACATCAGGTGAGGAAGCTTATAGTGAGGATGGGACGGGCAGTACAAAGCTGCGCTTCTTCTGGCCATCTTGGTTCTCATAAATGTGGGATCTCATGGGCCAGGTTGCAGCGATTAATGTTCCCCGCTTCTCCCTCCTCTTAGGTGGGATCTCTGTTTTTGAATCGCCTCAAAAGCAAGCGGTTTAAGGAATCTTCAAAGGAAAGAAACCCACAACTTCCCCTGTGCTGCTGCACCCTTGACACTGCAGGGCTGCTCGCAGGGAGAGATGGCAGAGGGGGCAGAGGAGCAACGGGCAGTGCTGTTTGACGCTGTTGTGGAGTGCGTTGCACATGTGCTGACAGCAGATGAGGTGAGGAGGAGATCTATGATGGGAGGTGGGCGAGAGGCACAATGTGAAGGGAATTTTGTCTGGTAGTGCATGTTTTAGGGAAGGGGCAGAGGAGCAACGGGCAGTGCTGTTTGACGCTGCTGTGGACTGCGTTGCACATGTGCTGACAGCGGATGAGGTGAGGAGGAGCGGTGATGTATCAAGGGAGTGATGTGTGTTGTGTGCGTGAATTAGAGAAGAGTCAGAGCTTAGACGAGCTGATGGCGAGAAATAGAGCTTAGACGAGCTGATGGCGAGAAATGCAATTCGTGATGCGGTTTGCTGCTGCTGTGGAGAGAGTCGAGCATGTGGGGAGAGCTGTGAGAGAAGTCTCAAAAGTAACGACCGCATGTGCTGAGCGTTGAGCGTTGAGGCAAGAGTGCTGCCTTTAGCCCTTGCCTCTTGCCTCTCCCCAGGTAGCAGGTCTCCTCCTAACAGCAGACGGGTTCCTTTATGTTACATGGTAACCACCGAACCCAACCATGGAACGACGTTGTGACTCTATCCATCCACCATTTGCCTCTCACCCGGAGTGCTTCTCCTAGCAACAGACGCCTTACTCCATGTAACCCAGTAACCACCTCACCAACAACCCGTTATATCCATCCACCCTGTCCTCTCACCCACCAGGTGGCAGTGCTCCTCCTAGCAGCAGACGCGTTTCTCCACATCACCTGCGCCGGCCACTCCCCCTCCTCGTCCACCACCACCAGCACCAGTTCAGTCCCGTCCGCAGCAGCATGGGAAACCTCGCAGAACCGGGAAAGGCAAGCACACGAGGAAGAGGAGAGAGGGTCCGATCACTTGCAGGGCGCAGCAGCAGCAGCAGCAGCAGCAGCAGCAGCAGCAGCAGCAGCAGCAGCAGCAGCAGCAGCAGCGGAGTGTGAGTACGTGGGGAGCGTGGTGACCCGCTGCATGGACACAGTCCTTCGAATTGCCTCTCTCAGAGGCCACCAGCTGCAGCAAAAAGAATCTGAGGCTGAGGAGGGTTCAGTGCAGCCTGCACACGGGTTAAAGCAGCAGCTGCTGCTGCAGGAGCGGGAGGATTTGGAGCAGCAGGGCAGGGCAGGGAGGATCATAGAGCGAATTGTTGCGGCGTCGCTTGGGTGTCACTACCGCTCTGCCCGCCTGCCTGCCTTCGCTGCGGTGCGTGCTTCCATTGCATGGTGTTTTGGTTGAGGCATCTCAATATCGAGCAGGGCAGGGCGGGAAGGGTCATCGAGTGCATTGTTGCGGCGTCCCTTGGGTGTCACTACCGTTCGGTGCGTCTGCCTGCCTTTGCTGCGGTACGTGTGCCTCCATTGCATGGGGTTTTGAGGCATCCCATTATCGAGCAGGGAAGGCCGGGGAGGGTCATTGTGCGCATTGTTGCGGCGTCGCTTGGGTGTCACTACCACTCTGCCCGCCTGCCTGCCTTCGCTGCGGTGCGTGCTTTCAGCTCACGCTCTTTCGGATCACCTTCTCTCACACTCGTTTCACATGCAGTCTAGCAAGAGTGGTTGGATTGGAGGGCTGTTTGATTCCAAACATGAGCTCTCAACCCCGCCAAATTCTGCAAACCCTACCCTCTGCCAGGTCTGCTCTCTGGCAGCTTCCTGCGACCCCCTTGCCCTGTTCTGCTGCGTGCTGCTGGTTGGACTCATCGACCCTAAACTCCCCACTTCTGCTTCTGCAAACCCTCCCTAACCCCGCCAGGTCTGCTCTCTGGCGGCTTCCTGTGTCCCCGCTGCCCTGTTCCACTGCATGCTGGTTGGACTCGTCGACCCTAAACTCCCCACTTCTGCTTCTTCAAACCCTAACCCCGACAGGTCTGCTCTCTGGCGGCTGCCTGTGTCCCCGCTGCCCTGTTCCGCTGCGTGCTACAACATGTGGAAGAAACTTCTGGGAAGCTGCCGGCACTTGAAGAGCTTGTAGAGGTGCGGTGGGTGCGATGGTGTGGAGTGGGAAGGTAGTGCAAAGGGGTGTTGTGCGGTATTGTGCTGTATGGAATGGTTCCAAACTTCTTCTACAGCAATGCGACCATTACTGCCGGTGCCCACCATTTCTTCCCTTGGCGCCCCTCCCTCTCTCTGCAGGGGATTTCTCAGCACCCCTCTTTCGGGCCTCAACTGTTCCATCCACCTTCGTCCACCTGATTTTTGAGGCGCCTCAAAAGACTATTTTTGAGGCGCCTCAAAAGACTATTCTTGAGGCGCCTCAAAAGACTATTCTTGAGGCGCCTCAAAAATCCTCTGCAGGAGATTTCTCAGCACCCCTCTTTCGGGCCTCCACTGTTCCATCCACCTTCGTCCACCTGCTACTGCCATAGGTCATCCCTGGCGTCAACAACCCGGTTGGCCTGGCTGGTTCCCAATCTTCCACACCCGCTTTTCCTTCCCTCCCTGTGCCTCCTTTTCACCCTCCCTCTCGCAGGAGATCGCTCGGCACCCCTGGCTGGGAGTTGACTTTTGAGTCGACTCAAAAGTCGATTGCTCGGCACCCCTGGCTGGGAGTTGACTTTTGAGTCGACTCAAAAGTCGATTGCTCGGCACCCCTGGCTGGGAGTTGACTTTTGAGTCGACTCAAAAGTCGATTGCTCGGCACCCCTGGCTGGGAGTTGACTGTTGAGTCGACTCAAAAGTCGATTGCTCGGCACCCCTGGCTGGGCCCTCAGCTGTTGCACCTGCTTCTGCCGAAGCTCATTCCTGGCTTCGATTCGATTGGTCTGGCTGGTTTCTAATCTCCAACACTTGCTTTTCCTTCCTTCCCTGTGCCTCCCTCATCTCCCTCTCCGCATTTCTCTCCGCAGGAAATTGCGCGGCACCCGTCTCTTGGCCCCCAGCTGTTCCTCCTGCTCCTGCCGAAGCTCATCCCGGGCTTTGACCCTGTTGGCCTGGCCGACTTGCATCAAGCAGCACAGCGGCAAGCTTTGATGCAGAAGCAAGGGAGTGAGCAGTCAGCAGCAGCGCCACAAGGGGCTGGAGAAGCAGCAGCAGAAGGCGTTCCTACAGAGGGGCAAAAGGACGAGTCTGCTGCATCAGTAGGAGTGGAACAGGCACACCTGGGGCAGGCTGTATCTGAGGCTGCTGCTGCTGCCAGTGCTGCTGCTGCTGCCGGTGGTGCTGCCACTGCTTCGCTCACTTTTGATCCAAGCGCTACAGTTGCTGCTGCTATGGTTGCTGCTGCGTCAAATGAAGGAAGGGCAAGGAGTGTGGGGAGTGTGGGGAGTGTGGGGAGTGCAGGCAAGCCTTTTATCTACTCCTCTGGATCTAAGGCAGCCATTCGAACTCTTGGGTTGATGCTAAGGTAATAGCACTTGTGAGGCATCTCAAATTGGGACAATTTTGGGGAATGTGGTGTGGGGAGTGTGGGAGGGAGTGCAGGGGGTGTGGGGAGTGCAGGCAAGCCCTTCATCTACTCCTCTGGCTCCAAAGCAGCCATCAGGATGCTTGGGATCATGCTCGGGTGAGAGTGCATGCTTGAGTGGAATCAAGAGGGTTTGCACAAGTGGGGGGAGTGTACACTCAAGCAGCCACGAAGTGCAGGCAAGCCCTTCATATACTCCTCGGGCTCTAAGGCGGCCATCCAAACTCGTGGGATCATGCTCGGGTGAGGGTTCCTGTAACGAGGCTCAAAAACAGGGATGTAAGGAATGTTGAGTGGGGAGTGTGGTGTTGGGAGCAGCACTACTCTACTCCATCCCCACCATCCACACGCTCCATCTGCTGCTCTGCGCTCTCGCTCATCGACATGGTCTGTGCCTTCCCCTTCCCTGCCCCCTCTCCGTCCCTCGCTGTCCCCCTTCCCACATCTCTCTCCCCTACAGGCACCCTTTGACCGACCTCAAGCAAGCAGCACTGCCCTACACCATCCCCACCGTCCACACGCTCCATCTGCTGCTCTGTGCTCTCACCCTAAACCATAAACTCTCTCTCTTCCCCCTCCCTCCCCCCTCTATCTCCCCCCTTCAGGCACCCTTCAGCCAACCTCAAGCAAGCAGCACTACCCTACACCATCCCCACCGTTCACACCCTTCACCTGCTGCTCTGTGCTCTCGCCATCGACACCATCGCCTCTCACCCCGAGGCTGCCCTTGCTTCCGAGGGCCCTCTCAGCAAGAGGATCAACGATGCCATCACAGCAGCAGACGGAGGCCTGTGGTCCAGCGACCCTTTCCTGTGAGTGAGCAAGCCTTGTGTGAGTTCGTTCAGTCTTGTGCCTTGTTGCTCTCACCATCGCCTCTCACCCCAAGGCTGCCCTTGCTTCTGAGGGCCCCCTGAGCAAGAGCATCAGCGATGCCATCACAGCACCTGAAGGAGGCCTGTGGTCCAGCGACCCCTTACTGTGAGTGTGCTGGTATGCCATGCACCCACGGTCAGTGGGGCGGCTCTCGCCCCCACCTCACCCCACCGGCCCTCTCAGCAAGAGGGTCAACGATGCCATCACAGCAGCAGATGGAGGGCTGTGGTCCAGCGACCCTTTCCTGTGAGTGAGCAAGCCTTGTGTGAGTTCGTTCATTCTTGTGCCTTGTTGCTCTCACCGCCGCCTCTCAAACCGAGGCTTCTCTTGCTTCCGAGGGCCCCCTCAGCAAGAGGGTCAACGATGCCATCACAGCAGCAGATGGAGGGCTGTGGTGCAGCGACCCCTTCCTGTGAGTCCAGTGCTTCCTTGTGCACCTGGTCACACCAACCATAACATGCTCAACTCAGTGCTTCCGAGGCGCCTCAAAAGTTTTCTGTGAGTCCAGTGCTTCCCTAGCCCATGTTCACACCAACAATAACATGCACAACTCTGTGCTTCCTGTGAGTGAGTTGAGTCCTGTGTGAGTTCGTTTGGTCTTTGAGGAATGGCCCTGTGCCTTGTTCTCACTGTCGCCTCTCCCGTGCACCACCATGCCAATCTTGCGCTAACCTATCCGCACCGCTCTGCACCACCCTGTCCCCACGCGCAGGCTGGTTTACAGCGCCCTCCGCTCCGTGGCTCATTTCTTCAACCACCAATCTCTCATCGAGGTATGTCCCTCATGAAGCCATTCTTTAGGCTCCAACAATATCCCACCCCAACCGCTCATCGACGTGTGTGGCTCACTTCGTCAACCTCGTTCTCTCACCTACCAGCCGCGGCCCGCGCGACAACGTACACCTCGTCATATGTATGAATGAAACCCCTCGCGCACTTTCTATGACTTTTGAGGCGCCTCAAAAGACCTCGTTCTCTCACCTACCAGCCGCGCATCAACGTACACTTCTCATCATATGAATGAAACCCCTCACACACTCTCCATTGGAACTCGGTGTGCTTAGTGTTTTCTGCACTCCCTTGTATTTTTTTTCCCCTGTTTTCTTTCATTGCCCTTGTTGAATCACTTTGTGCATGAATTCTCCCCTCCACCAACCCTCCCTTGACAGGCCCTCGAAACCTTCTCACCAGACAGCCTTGGGGGGAAGGGAACAGCACAGGGGGGCACTGGCGAAAATGCGAGCAGCGGGATGGACGTGACTGCAGGGCAGCTGTCCGTGCTGTGTGGACTGGTGGCGGCGCTTGTGGGGGCCATGCTGACTGTGGGAGAGCAGGATGAGGTGAGTAGTGGAGGGAAGGGAGAAAAATGGAGAGGAGAAGGGGGGAAGGATGATTGAGAAGCGGGATGGACGTGACTGCAGGGCAGCTGTCCGTGCTGTGTGGACTGGTGGCAGCGCTTGTGGGGGCCATGCTCATTGAGGGAGAGCAGCAGGGTGATGAGGTGAGTAGCGGAGGCGGGAAAGAGGGAGGGAAGGGACAGGGAAGGGGGGGAGAGAGATGTGGGGGAGAGGGAAGGAGGGGAGTTCGGAGAGGGAGGGAGGGAGGGGGAGCGAGGGAGGGGTGAAAGGGGGAGGGTAGAGGGAGGGAGGGAGAAGTCAAATTCTCGCCTCCCCTTCCCCTTCCTTTATGCCACTGCAGGTGCTGCTGTGATTGAGGTGTTTCATAACGAAGCTGTGGACTGCACAATGCACATATGAAGGGCTGTGCCCCTCTTGAGTCGACTCAAAAGACATATGAAGGGCTGTGCCCCTCCTTTCCTTCTCTGTTCCACTGCAGGTGCTCTCTGTTGAGGCGTTTCTCTCCCAAGCCGTGGAGTGTGCTAGTGTGTACAAGTATATCACGGACGCTGCTCTCATATGCCATGGCATGAGCGTGGGGTGGAGGTAAGTGAGCGCAATGCACGACCCACACATGCATGCATCACTTGCATCCACAGAGCACCAAATACACACATGCATCACTGCATCTGCACATGCACATCACAGACGCTCCTCTCATGTGCCACGCCATGCCATGAGCGTGGGGTGGAGGTAAGCGGGCACCATACACACATACGCTACAGTCCCACCCAGTCCCACCCAGTCCCACCCAGTCCCACCCAGTCCCACCCAGTCCCACCCAGTCCCACCCAGTCCCGCCCAGTCCCGCCCAGTCCCGCCCAGTCTTCTTCCCCACTGCCTCTGTGGCATCCCAGAAAGGACACCGCTCATCTGATCCTTCAGTCTACTCATAGACCCACCCGCCCACCAATCTTTTTCTGGCTCTGATCTGCTGCCTCCTCTGTCTTGCAGAAAGGACGGTTCTGATTTGGAGGCAACGATTGCATGGCAGCTGGAGCGCTTCCAGGAAGCTTCCTCTGCTGCTCGAGCTGTCGTCCTGCTTATACTCTCCAAGGTAACTCGTTTTGCACCAGACCTTGGCTGCCCTCACACACCATCACACAGCCCTGCAGGGCCTGCACAGCGCTTGTGCAGCAACACTTGTGCACCATCCGCATACCCCTCTAGCGGATCACAGTGCTGCAACACTTGTGTTGCATTACCCCCGTCCCCACTCCGTCCCGTCTGCCCTCCTCCCTTGCAGCAACCCCTGTCCTCCTCGTCCTCACCCTCCTCGGTGGCTCATCGCATTCTTTCAACAGCTGCTCTCTCCCTGCAGAACTCGTGATACTGTACTGCTTTCCTCCCCGCTGTCTCTCCACTCCCCGCTACTTGCCCCTCCCTTGCAGCTCCCCCAGTCCTTGCCCCCACCACCCCCCGTGGCTCATCGCATTCTTTCTACTGCCTCGCTTTCCTTGCAAGACCCGAGCGCCATGGTCTCACTCGCTGCTGCCATTTGCACGCACCAGGTATGGCACATGGCAGCATGGCACATAGAAGCATGCACTCATCACTGCTTGTCTGCTGCAGCACTCTACTGCTCTCTCCCTGCAAGACCCAAGCGCCATGGTCTCACTCGCTGCTGCCATTTGCACGCACCAGGTATGGTATGTGGCATGTGGTGTATGGCACATGTAGACGGTCGTGACCAAAACACACATGGCTCATGGCATGGCGCATCGCTCATGTATGCCATCTGCAGATGTCATCGCTCATGTATGCCATCTGCACACTCTGTGTCACGCTCTCTCCCTGCAAGACTCAAGCACCATGGTCTCACTTGCAGAAAGAAGTGTTTTGAGACGTCTCAAGCGCCATGGTCAAAACACTTCTTTCTACCCAAGCGCCATGGTCTCACTCGCTGCTGCCATTTGTACCCACCAGGTATGGTATTTCTATCACACGTGGTGTATGGCACATGTAACGACTTTTGAGGCGCCTCAAAACTCTCAAAACTGGTGAGGCACCTCAAAACATGTGGTGTATGGCACATGTATACAGAAATTATCATAGCTTGGTAAAGGAGAACCTCCCATGGTAACGGGGCTCTCAGTCCAAGTAAGACACATGGCACATAGCACATGTCACATTGCTTTCCCCTTCGAGGTGACTTTTGAGTCGACTCAAAAGTCGAGTCGACTCAAAAGTCGAGTCGACTCAAAAGTTGGCTCTCAGTCCAAGTAAGACACATGGCACATAGCACATGTCACATTTCTTTCCCCTTCTCCTCGTTCCCCCCACCCCAACCTTCCCCGTCCGTCCCTCCCCCTCTCAGTGTCTCTCCCAGTGCAGCTTTCCGGCCAATCAGGCGCTGCCAGCTGCCACCATCCTCCAATCAACGCGAGCTATCATGGTAAGGATCAAATCGGTGAGGAAACGCCAAGTTTGTCTTTGGTAGGGAATGAACCAGTGAGGTCACTGCCATTCTGCAACTATCGTATAAGCACTTTGCTGTATGTCACTTCGAGGGAGAAAATAATAGTATGTAGGACATTTGCACATGTTTTTCTCGCTGCTTGCAGAGGGTCCATGCGCCCCAAGCCCAGGCCGCAGCAGCGTGGATGGTGGGTGCACTGGCAAGCAGGCCTGGCAGCGATCTTACCTCTTCTCCCTTTCTCCCCATCGTCTTTCACTCCTTGCAGAGGGACCGTGCGCCCCAAGCCCAGGCCGCAGCAGCGTGGATGGCAGGCGCGCTGGCAAGCAGTCTCCTGAGGCAGCAGAAGCTGCAGCGTGAACCCAGCAGTGGGGATGAGTGCAGTGAGCAGCCCCCGCCAAGCACTGCAGAATGCTCAAGAGCACAGCTGCAAGATATTGAGCCTGAGGTGGGTTGGATGACCCTGAATTCCAAATTTTCAAGCCACAATCGTTCTTTCCTGTACCTCTGCCTTTTTTTTTTTTCATAAGTATCATGATAACAGCACTGCACTGCACCCATTGTCTCTAGTCTGATTCCAAGGCTGACGCTTGGATGCGCATCACATGCCTGTTTCCTTCTGTTGCGCGTTCGTTTCTGCTTCAGCCTGCATCCTTTCCAGTTCACACTGGTTGCTTTGCATACTGAATGTGGAAACTCGTTTTGCCCACACAACGAACTTAACCATGTGGTCTGGTGTCTGCGACTGCATGCCGAGCCTGTTGTTCAGGTTCGGGAAACAATGACAACCCTGTGGTTCTTATCGGAGCATCAACCAGACCTAGTCACAAGCGCATGCAAGGTATAATTAGAATCAGGGAATGCTAGCATCTAGTGATGCATGCTCATGTTCTTCTGTGGGGTTTCGCACCCATGCGTACAGTTAACGCGTCACCACCCCCCGGCCCTTCCCCTCTTCTTTCTCCCCGACACCCGAGCTTTGAGACGTAGCTAGACCATGTTTTTCTTCCAATCGCTAGACCATGTTTTTCTTCCAATCTCTAGACCATGTTTTTCTTCCAATCTCTAGACCATGTTTTTCTTCCAATCTCTAGACCATGTTTTTCTTCCAATCTCTAGACCATGTTTTTCTTCCAATCTCTAGACCATGTTTTTCTTCCAATCTCTAGACCATGTTTTTCTTCCAATCTCTAGACCATGTTTTTCTTCCAATCTCTAGACCATGTTTTTCTTCCAATCTCTAGACCATGTTTTTCTTCCAATCTCTAGACCATGTTTTTCTTCCAATCTCTAGACCATGTTTTTCTTCCAATCGCTAGACCATGTTTTTCTTCCAATCTCTAGACCATGTTTTTCTTCCAATCGCTAGACCATGTTTTTCTTCCAATCTCTAGACCATGTTTTTCTTCCAATCTCTAGACCATGTTTTTCTTCCAATCTCTAGACCATGTTTTTCTTCCAATCTCTAGACCATGTTTTTCTTCCAATCTCTAGACCATGTTTTTCTTCCAATCTCTAGACCATGTTTTTCTTCCAATCTCTAGACCATGTTTTTCTTCCAATCTCTAGACCATGTTTTTCTTCCAATCTCTAGACCATGTTTTTCTTCCAATCTCTAGACCATGTTTTTCTTCCAATCTCTAGACCATGTTTTTCTTCCAATCGCTAGACCATGTTTTTCTTCCAATCTCTAGACCATGTTTTTCTTCCAATCTCTAGACCATGTTTTTCTTCCAATCTCTAGACCATGTTTTTCTTCCAATCTCTAGACCATGTTTTTCTTCCAATCTCTAGACCATGTTTTTCTTCCAATCTCTAGACCATGTTTTTCTTCCAATCTCTAGACCATGTTTTTCTTCCAATCTCTAGACCATGTTTTTCTTCCAATCTCTAGACCATGTTTTTCTTCCAATCTCTAGACCATGTTTTTCTTCCAATCTCTAGACCATGTTTTTCTTCCAATCGCTAGACCATGTTTTTCTTCCAATCTCTAGACCATGTTTTTCTTCCAATCGCTAGACCATGTTTTTCTTCCAATCTCTAGACCATGTTTTTCTTCCAATCTCTAGACCATGTTTTTCTTCCAATCTCTAGACCATGTTTTTCTTCCAATCTCTAGACCATGTTTTTCTTCCAATCTCTAGACCATGTTTTTCTTCCAATCGCTAGACCATGTTTTTCTTCCAATCTCTAGACCATGTTTTTCTTCCAATCTCTAGACCATGTTTTTCTTCCAATCTCTAGACCATGTTTTTCTTCCAATCTCTAGACCATGTTTTTCTTCCAATCTCTAGACCATGTTTTTCTTCCAATCTCTAGACCATGTTTTTCTTCCAATCTCTAGACCATGTTTTTCTTCCAATCTCTAGACCATGTTTTTCTTCCAATCTCTAGACCATGTTTTTCTTCCAATCTCTAGACCATGTTTTTCTTCCAATCTCTAGACCATGTTTTTCTTCCAATCTCTAGACCATGTTTTTCTTCCAATCTCTAGACCATGTTTTTCTTCCAATCTCTAGACCATGTTTTTCTTCCAATCTCTAGACCATGTTTTTCTTCCAATCGCTAGACCATGTTTTTCTTCCAATCTCTAGACCATGTTTTTCTTCCAATCTCTAGACCATGTTTTTCTTCCAATCTCTAGACCATGTTTTTCTTCCAATCTCTAGACCATGTTTTTCTTCCAATCTCTAGACCATGTTTTTCTTCCAATCGCTAGACCATGTTTTTCTTCCAATCTCTAGACCATGTTTTTCTTCCAATCTCTAGACCATGTTTTTCTTCCAATCTCTAGACCATGTTTTTCTTCCAATCTCTAGACCATGTTTTTCTTCCAATCTCTAGACCATGTTTTTCTTCCAATCTCTAGACCATGTTTTTCTTCCAATCTCTAGACCATGTTTTTCTTCCAATCGCTAGACCATGTTTTTCTTCCAATCTCTAGACCATGTTTTTCTTCCAATCTCTAGACCATGTTTTTCTTCCAATCTCTAGACCATGTTTTTCTTCCAATCTCTAGACCATGTTTTTCTTCCAATCTCTAGACCATGTTTTTCTTCCAATCTCTAGACCATGTTTTTCTTCCAATCTCCCCCATGCGGCAGGCTTCCTCTCACCGATTTTCACCCGGTCTTCCCATGTCTTATTTTCACCCGATTCCCCCCCATGCTGCAGGCATCATCTTTCTGCCTGGCTCGGCTACTTTCGTCCGATCAAGGGATCGAGTGCACCCACGCACCGTTGATGTGAGTGTTGAGGGATCTCACCCCTTCGTGAGATTCATTTCAGTGGAATTTGAGACATATGATATGAATTTTGAGTCGATTAAAGAGTCGACTCAATGCAGTGGAGTTTGAGTCATGTGGTGTTTGACAAGCAATTCGATCACCTCATGCCTCCTGCACTTCATCGACCATCTCCCCCTTTAAATCCCCCCCTCGCACGTGTTCAATGCTCATGTGTGTGTTAGTGATGCCCTCTAGTTTTGAGGCACCTCAAAACTATACTCTTTAAATCTAAACTCTCTCTCCACTTGTATGATTTTCCTCTTTAATGTGTATCAGGGAATCGGGTCTCTTCACCAAAAGCTTCTACCAGTTTCTCTCGAATGACTTTGTAACGAGTTTTGATGCTTACACTGGCTTCACACTGGAAGTGAGTACCAATCACAGTGTCTTGCACACACACACACACTTGATCTGTGTAACCTCAATACTCATCCGCGCCTTGTTTCATGATTTACGCTATTGAGTGCACTAGCAGACCTTTCATATTCTCATAGCATCCTCTCCCCCCTCTTCCCCCCCATCCCGCCTCCCCATTCTCCCATCCCCACCCTCGCTCCCCCCTTCCCTCTCCTCTCCCATCTGCAGGCGCTCTCCCACCCATCACACTCCGTCAAGCTCAGAGTAATATCATTCTTCACCGGCCTCTCCCCTTTCTCCTCCCATTCCCGCCCTCCCCTTCTCTTCCCTTTCCCCGCCTCTCCTTTTCTTCCTCTCCCCTCCACAGGCGCTCTCTCACCCCGCAGACTCTGTCAAGCTCACAGCAATTTCATTCTTCACCTGCCTCTCCCCCTTCTCCTCCCCTTCTCTTCCCCCATCCCCTGCAGGCGCTCTCCCACCCCTCAGACTCCATTAAGCTCGCAGCAATTTCATTCTTCACCGTCCTCATTCGATTCTCCCCTCCTCTTTCCCTCTCCTCTCCCCTCTACAGGCGCTCTCCCACCCGTCAGACTCCGTCAAGCTCACAGCGATATCTTTCTTCACCGGCCTCATTCAATTCGTCGCTGAAAACCGCTCAGCAGCGCAGGGGGGCGGCGAGGCTGCATCTGATTCGTCAAGGCCCAACGCATCGAGCAGCGCATCAAGCAGCGCATTGAGCAATGCATTGCCTCCTTCCGGTGTTGCTTTTGCAATCCCGGTGCCTCTCACAAAGGCGCTCTCTCAACTCTTGAAGAAATCCCCGAATGAGAAGCTTCGGGCTGCAGCAGCATCTTCCCTTGGGGAGATTCTGCGCCTCTCATTCAAGAGAGAGAGGTCTGATAGAATGCGATGGGAATAATAGGCGTGCAGCGCACCGCAAATGCATGCAATCCCGGTGGTGCCTCATTTTGCAAAATGTGAGAAAATCCCCGAATGAAAAGCTTCGGGCTGTGGCAGGCTGGCAGCATCTTCCGCAGGGAAGATTCTTCGGCTGTCATTCAAAAGAGAGGCCTGATAGAATGTGATAGAAAGTCTGGTCTGGAGAATAAAGTAAATGCATGCATGGTCTAGGGTTTTCCGCTAAATACAAACAGGCGAATCGAATCCAGAAAAGAGTTCAGCTAAGCTTTTCATACACAACACATGGTACCACAGCTCTACAGACTCTTCTCAAGTGAGCCATTCCTTGGGCAAGCGCAAATGTTGGCAAGACAGGAGGTTCTACACCGGGTTTCTACTGGAACATTCTCACTGTATCTCCATTGAGATGAGGGGAGAAGGGTCTTTATTGAGAGAAGGGGAAAAGGGTTTGCAATGAGTTGAGGGGAGAAGTCATCCAAATTAATACCGGTAAGCATGTGCAGATTAAAGCACAGCCAAGCCATCCAGCTGTCCTAGTCATCCTACTGAGTGCACCACGCTGAGCGGTAAGTGAAAGAATATGGCATGTCCCTGGTTAATGGTAACAAGGGAGGACAAAGATATGGTACGATGACAGGGGAGAAGTTGGTTAAAGAAAAGGAAGTGGAGGACTTGTGCAGGTGATTGGTTCAAAAAGGGAAGTGAAGAAGTTGTGCAGGTGCGAGGAGAGTGCAGAAAACGGTCAATCACTTACAGTGCATAAGCTGCAAGAAACAACGGATTGGGTCCGGCAAAAAGATCGTCATTACTAGCGCCTTCACAGTTGTCGGTTGGATAGACTTTGCAGCTGGAAAGACTTGGAGCATCACCGGTGTTCATAACTCCATACAATGTTGCGCCCTCCTCAGCCAATGCTTCCGGCATATGGGTGCAGCTATTCACGTTAGTGCGGAAGGTGAGGGGTCGAGAAGAGTTGTCCCTCGCTGTTCGATTTGCAATGACTGTGTAGCTCTCATAAGAGACGGTGGAAGGTGCACCTGAGAAAGAGTGAGGCGAGAAGAGGAGAGGGAGACGAGTGTGAAGCTGTTAGAGGAGACGTTGAAAGCTCCACCTGAGAAAGAGTGGCACAGGGATCGACTCAGCGCGTTGCTCGTCTGCTCTGCGAGCAAATACCATCAACAGTCATACATGCATTACCATCAACTTTAAGCAGCAGCATCTGTTCACCCAACACGGCAGAGAGAGAAAAGTGAAACAAAGAGTGGGACGTGTGGGGGAGAGGAGAGGGTGGGGCGAGACGGGAGAGGAGGGAGTGGTGCGAGCGGGGAGTGCGGCGAGTATTGTTGAGAGAGGAGAGTGGAGAGTAGAGCGAGAAAACGTCAAACAATCTGACCTTTAACACACTTGGTCGCAGTTATCCCATAGCCTTTAGGGCACGCGCAGTAAGGCACCTGCACCGAAGGCTCCTCAGTCGCAGGCACGGTCTTGCAGGTTGCTCCAGAGGGGCAGGCGCCACAGGGTGAGTCTGAGGGGTGGGGATGGGTGCAGTGCGGTATGTAGTGAAGAATTGGGGCACCAGAGGGGCAGGCGGCACAGGGTGAGGGTGAGGAAAAAATGCACTCACCCCATTGGCAGGGTGAGGGGGCACAGGGCAAAATGCAAAGAGAGATGCAAGGGGGAAGAAGGCACTCACCCCACTGGCAGTAGCGCTCGCCGTTCTCATCCACCATGCATTTGCCTCCAGGCTCACAGCCCAACGCGTCACAGGGAGCATCGGTGCAAAGAATCGAGGCCATGGAAGCCCACTTGCGGAGGTTCTTCTTGTTGCTTGGAGACCTGAAGGGCGTGGCGCGGCAAGAGGGAGCACAAGAAATGGCTTAAGAGGCGCCCACTTGCTGAGCGTCTTCTTGTTGCTTGGAAACCTGAAAGGGGGTGCAAGCGGAAGCACAAGAGATAATGACATGCTTCTTGTGTACCCTCGCTTCCCCGCCCTCCCCCTCCCCTCCCATCCCTGCCTCTCCCTTTCCTTCCCCTCCCCTCCCCTCCCTGCCCCTCCCTTCCCCTCCCCTCCCCTCCCTGCCTCTCCCTTCCCCTCCCAAACTCATCCACTGCTCGTGTCTTCTCGCCGTGCCTCACACACGGCCATACAACCAAACAAACACCCCCACCACACCACTCACTTGGCAGTAGTAGAGCCTGGGTTGACCATGCTATCAAGCTCCGTGCCCCGGCAGCCGCCCTTCCCAAAGAACTTGATCTGCGAGCAAGAGAAGCCTGTAGCCTTGCTGCTCGTGCCGTTCCACCACACCTGCGCGCTCTTCCCCCGCGCCTTTTTCGGCACGCTCACGCAGCGCTGGCTGCCGAAGCTAAGCCGAGCCTTGCCCACAGCCACGGTTGTGGTAAACTGTGGCTTGGAACCGCCACCGCGGGTACTGAAAGTGCTGCTATCAATAGTGGTGCTGCGAGTGCTGCTGTCCACAGTGGTACTGGGAGTGGGGCTGGGGGTGCCGTCAACGATGCTGCCGCCGGCGGTGCTGCTGCCGGTGTTGTCCGTGCTGTCGGTGCTGCCGGTGCTGCCTGTGCTGCCACTGCTGTCGGTGCTGCCGGTGCTGTCGGTGGCCTCTAGCGCAATCCTTGCATTGACCTTGCTGCTCGCTGTAAAAGGTTTTGCAGAAATGGAGGAGAAGGCAATGAGAGGAAGAGATTGCAGATGGGTGACATTGCTGGCATGAGAGAGAAGGCAATGCGAGAGAAGCCAATGAGAGAGAAGGCAATGAGAGAGAAGGCAATGAGAGAGAAGGCAATGAGAGAGAAGGCAATGAGAGAGAAGGCAATGAGAGAGAAGCCAATGAGAGAGAAGCCAATGAGAGAGAAGGCAATGAGAGAGAAGGCAATGAGAGAGAAGGCAATGAGAGAGAAGGCAATGAGAGAGAAGCGGGCTGACCGGCGATGAGAGAAGGCAACGATGAGAGAGCAGCAGACCGATGAGCAGAAATGAGAGAAGGCGGACTGACCACCGATGAGGGCAATGGCGAGCAGCAGGAGTCCGGCGGGAGAGGCGCGCATCGACCCCATGATGCTGGTTGTCCCGCGGAAGAGGCGGCGGAAGAGGCGGCAGAAAAGCCGGCGGAAGAGGAGCCGAACAAGTTGCCCTTCTAAATGTAAGTAAGTTGGCCCTCCGACGTGTCACACGCTCTTTTTTGGAGCCGGGAGATGAAGGACAGCCTCCCTGAGTGGAGTACTACCGTAGAACAAGCACAGAAGCGGAAGGAGAGTCGTGGAATGAAAGGGATGGAAGAAAGGAACGTTTGCTTTGGGATCTGACGGAGCTGCACTCGTGATTTATGATGCGAATTATGAGCGCGAGTCGAGCATGACAGCCGCCGCGCCATCGCACTACGATGAGTCATCGTCGGCGTCGCGTCGGTACTATCGTAGTGAATTATGGAAACGGGATGTGGACTTTTGAGACTTTCTCAAAACACAGCCGCCGCACCATCGCACTACGATGAGTCATTGTCGGCGTCGGTACTATCGTAGTGAATTATATGAACGGGATATGGTGAGCTGCTACGACGATAGCCCTAACCTTGAGACTTCTCAAAACTCGTCGCGCCATCGTACTAGGATGAGTCATCGTCGGCGTCGCGTCGGTACCATTGTAGTGAATTATAGGAACGGGACTTTTCAGACTTCTCAAAACTTGCAGCGCCATCGTACTACGATGAGTCATTGTCAGTGTAGATACACTATCATTGTGTATTATAGGGAAGTTATATTGTCTTTGGCGCAGGTCGAGCAGATTTGCCAGGGAAAAAACGTGGGTCCAGCTGCTTGGGTCGAGCTCGACTAGACCCACGCGGAAGCGGCGCAAGCTTGCGCCGAGCAAGACAACCCCCACCGCCCCACGGGCTAGGCTCGGCATGCCCGTGAAACAGTTGCCTGCCCGAACAGATTCGTGCGTGCAATTCACTTGGCGAAGCACGTGCTCTCGCGAGCGTCAGTGTGCAGACGTCAGTTGACTGTGAAATAACGAGGAATGAATGAACTAAGGGAAAGTTGGGTACAAAAGCAAATCCTATAAAACTGTACCCCATATGTGCTACCCCACTATAGCCTACAGTAGCTATGTCATATAAATCTGACACACCCCCATAGGCAAAGTGGGGGAGAACAAGGGGTCACAAGACCAGTCAAGCAAAGCAAAGCAAGCTCAGGGTGGATCACAAAGTCACCACACATTCCGAGCACAAGTTCAAGGCCACAAGGCCAGTTCACATGCAGGATTGCATATATATATAAGGCTAGACAAGCAAGAGCAGGTGTATATATATATGCAACAGTACAAACAAGGTCAAGGGGTGAGCAAATGAGGCAAAGTAGGCACAAGATCCAGCTGAGTACAGAAGCGCTGATGATCACAAGGCGGGAGTGCCTTGGTGAAGATATCAGCAGTGTTGGCCTCAGAGGCCACGTACGCAAGCCGCAGCTGATCACGCTGCTGTAGCTCACGAGCAAGGAAGTAGCGGAGAGCAATGTGCTTCGTTCTGTGCTCCAGTCTCTGCTCTCGACACAAGGCCAGCATGGCCTTGTTGTCTACGTACAGCACTAGAGGAGAACGAGGCGGCTCTCCGAGGTCAGTCAGCAGGTAGGTGAGCCAGCGAAGCTCCTGTGCAGCCATGGCACCGGCGTAGATCTCAGCCTCACAACTAGAGCCGAGAACAGAAGACGAGCGGGTAGCCCGCCACGAAACAGAGCCGGAACCAAGGTTGAAGGTGTAACCCTGTGACGACCGCTGCGTAGCCTGGTCGTCAGCCCAAGAAGCGTCTGCGTGCCCAGTGAGGACCACTGGACTCTGCCCTCCAAGCACAAGCCCCATGCCCGACGTACTGCACAAGTAGCGCAACACCCTCTTCGCTGCAGCCATGTGCTCCGGTCTGTGTCTCCCAGGAGCAACATAGCGTGCAAGAATGCTAAGAGGGTATGCAAGGTCAGGTCGTGTGCAGGTCATCAGGTACATGAGGCAGCCAACAAGCTCTGGGTACGGGCCACTCGACTCTACGGACTCATCCGAAGGCAGAGCTGAGAGCGAGTGGCGAGTAGGCAGAGGAGTGGCCTGAGGCGAGGAGTACGTGAAGCCGAAGCGCTGAAGGACCTGCTGCACCATGTGTGACTGAGTCAGGGTAATGGTGCGGCGTGCTCTGTCCCGGGTGATCTGCAAGCCAAGGTAGCTGCGCAGTTCACCCAGGTCTGTGCACGTGTGTCTCTTCTGCAGCTCGGACTTCACGTGGGCGAGTCCAGCAGTGTCAGCTGTGGCGAAGACCAAGTCGTCGACGTACACGAGGATGTAAAACGGCGGCAAAGAAGTGTCGGTGCGCAGAAACAGCGACGGGTCGGCAGTAGAGGGAGCAAACCCAAGAGCCGCAAGCGTAGTCCTCAGTGTGTCGTGCCACTCACGCGGTGCCTGGCGGAGACCGTAGACTGGCCGCCGGAGGCTCCACTGGGTGCCAGGAGGAAAGGACCCAGTGAAGCCAGGTGCAGGCTGCCCTGCAAGAAGGCAGTGCTGAAGTCAAGAGAGTGCAGCTCGTAGTCGCGGTGAGCAGCTATGTGCAGCAGTACCCGAAGAGTGGTCATCTTCGGGGTGGGAGAGAAGGTCTGAAAGTAGTCAACTCCCTGCCGCTGACTGAAGCCACGAGCCACGTAACGCGCCTTGAAGACAGGCGGAGAACCCGGCGGCCGCTTCACCCTGAAAATCCACATGCCACTGACGATGTTCGCCCCAGGCGGGGGAACCTCGTCAACGTAGGTGCCTGTGGACTTCCAGGAAGCCATCTCTGCGTCCATAGCTGCCTGCCACTGAGAGGAGTAGGGACCCTCTATCGCCTCCGCGTAAGAGCGCGGAGTCGGGATGTCAAGTGCATCCGGGTCTCCCTCAGGGGTAAGCAGTACGGACACGAGATGAGGTGAAGCAGCAGCCAAACACTGGAACTCCTCCTGCCTGTCCTCAAGGACGTCCGTGCCAAGGGCACACTCACCCCCGACGGACGGAGGACAGACAGACTCAGACTCAGCAACAAGACTAGCAGCGTAGTCTAGACGACAGCGAGCAGCAAAGTCGACGAGCTCAGTAACTAGTGCAGACGCAGCAGTGGACTCAAAGGAAGGGTCAGTGACAACAGTAGCAAGGAGACGCGTGACAGTAGGACTGGCAGCACGAAGAGAGTCCGACTCCGGGTCAGGAAGAGCAGGAAGAGAGGACTCAGGAGGAGAAGGCAAAGGGGCACGCAGAGGAGCAGTGGACGGACGCAGAGACATCCGGTGCGTGCCAGGGACAGGAGGAGGACGCTGACGCGAACCACGACCACTAGTGCGAGCAGCACGGACAGGCGACGCAGGGCGAGACGCAGGCTCACGACGCTCAGCAAGACCTCCAGTAGGACCAGTGTAGGGAGAAGGAGCGGGCAGTGGGGAGGCCGGCTGTAACTGTAACTGTGACGGGACAGGCTGTGGACACTCTAAGGGAGGAGGAGGACCAGTAGAAGGCGGGAGACCAAGAACCTGCTGAAGGAGTGGAACGAAGTACGGCCGAGGCCGCGCGGCGACTCCAGACACAGCAGGGACAGCACCAGTACCCCCAGCGGCAGCACCAGCGCCAGCAGCACCTCCAGCTCCAGTACCTCCAGCAGCACCAGTAGCACCCCCAGCAGGACCGCCTCCAGGACCGACAGCAGTAGCCTCAGCGCCAACACCCTCAGCAGCTCCAGCTCCAGTCGTACCCGCAGGCCCAGCAGCTCCAGTACTCCCAGTACGAGCACCTCCGGGACCCGCGGCACCAGTACCCTCAGCACCCGAAGAACCTCCAGCTCCAGCAGCACGCCTCCAGCGCCGGGCAAACCACTCGCGCAGCTCCTGTGGAGAGAGTGGCTCCCGCCGAGACGAAGCACCCGGAGAACCTCCAGGCTCAGCACCGCCAGACGCCACACGAGCAGGCCCAGCTCCCTCAGGCTCCGCACCCCCAGGCTCAGCACCTCCAGGCGTAGCACCCCAAGGCTCAGCACCCCCAGGCGTAGCACCCCCAGGCTCAGCACCCCCAGGCTCAGCACCCCCAGGCTCAGCACCCCCAGTAGTAGCACCCTCAGGCTCAGCACCCCCAGGCGTAGCACCCACACGCTCAGCACCCCCAGAGTCAGCACCCCCAGGCTCAGCACCCTCAGCAGCACCAGAGTCACCAGTAACCTCGACAGGCTCGACTGCGTCTACCTGGGACACACCTGAAGGGGCAGGACCCTGAGGGGGGAGGGGGTCTACCGGGGGGGGACCTGGCACAAGGAAGAGCGGTGGCGGGGGGAGGGACAGAGTGCGGTAGGGGAAGAGGCGGTAGTAGGGGACCGACTCGTCAAACGTGACGTCCTGGGAGGACAGAACACGGCGAGAGGTGGGGTGGTAGAACTGCCACCCTGGCGCATCAGGGGGGAAGCCAAGGAAGACGCAAGGAGCAGCACGAGGGGACAGCTTGTCCGCAGACAAGTCGCGGACAAACGCCCGAGATCCCCAGACACGGAACGCAGACGCATCGCCAACCTTCCCCGTCCACAGCAAAGCTGGGGAGGTCTCCGGCATGGAGACCCTGGGGTGAAGGTTGATCTGATGCGCCG